AAAAGGGCTTAAAAAAAAAAAGCAAAATCGGGGAGCAGGGAGTAGGCCGTGGTGCTGCTTACTTTCCTCGTAGGGCTAAAGCAGGCAAGAGTCCTTGTCACGCGTGGGCAGATCTGCCAGGATCTCCTGCTTTTCCGGAAGCTCAGCTGCACTCTGCAACAGGAAGCTCGCTCTGCTTTGCTGCCACCTGCTGCTAGACCAGCCCAGAATAACGCCCTCCCGCTCACACTGGCTAATAGTTAACACTGTCCTCTGTTAGGACATGTTAGGGGGAAACAATGGGCAGTACTTTGGGGGAAATTCATTACGTATAGTTACATTGCACTTATGAGCAAAGCAGTTGCCATGTTACAATGGAAGACAAATTACAAACCACACACACACACACACAAAGATACAGCACGGGTTCAGTTTCTTGATTATCAAGCAAATTGCAAGTATATCATTGTGGAGTTGGTGCCTGTGGCATAGTGAGCTAACCCTCTCCCTGTGGAGCCAGCATCTTATCTGGGTGCCGAGTCCCAGCTGCCTCACTTCCCATCCAGCTCACCTGACAGCAGTGGAGGATGGCCCAAGCCCTGCGGCCCCCGCACCCGCACGGGAGACCTAAAAGAAAGAATCCTGACTCCTGACTTCAGACCAACCCAGCTCTGGCCACTGTGGCCATTTGGGGAGCGAACCAATGGATGAAGGCTCTCTTTCTCTCTTTATAACTGCCTTTCAAATGAAAATACATCTTAAAAATTACAAGAAAAGCAAGAAAGAATGAGGGGGACTGGGTGTGAGAGAGTTTGTTCCCTTTATATAAGTTTTTCAAAAGAAAAGTGGTACATGAGGCCAACTTAGTGATGTGACAAGTTCAGCTTGTGACGGAGCCCTGACACAAGTGCCAGTTACAGCTCAGCTGCTCCGCTTCCAGTCCAGCTTCCTGCTCCTGGCCTGGAATGGCAGCAGACCCAACAAGGAGACCCGGATGGAGAGGCTGAGTCCTAGCTGTGGCTGACCCAGTCCTGGCTGTTGGAACCCTCTGGAATGTGACAGAAGCATTCTCTCTCACGCACACATACCTGCATCTCTCTGTTTCTCTGTGCTTGACATTCTGCTTTTCAAAAACTAAAGCTTAGAAAAGGAAAAAGGTGGAGGAGGGGGGACGGTGCAGTAGCCTAGTGGTTGAATCCTCGCTCCTCGCCCTGCATGCGCCAGGATCCCATAGGCATACCAGTTCATATCCCAGCTGCCGCACTTCCCATCCAGCTCCCTGCCTGTGGCCTGGCTAGGGAATGGGGGACAGCCCAAAGCCTGTGCCTGCATGGTAGATCCAGAAGAGGCTCCTGGCTTCGGATCGGCTCAGCTCCGGCCGCTGCAGCCACTTGGGGAGTGAGCGAGCAGATGGAGGCTCTGTCTCTGCTTCTCTTTGTGTATCTTAAAGAGGTTGAAAATAACTACGGAATCAGTGTATGTGTAGTTTAGAAGCAGAGTTTTTGTTTAATGGCTATTTCCTGCATTTTTTCCCATTTTGATCAAACAGTTGAGGTTATGTACCCAGCTACCACACAAAACAAACGTGTTTGCAAGGTCACCCTGGACACCCCTGGAGCTGTCCTGTCCCTCCAAGTCCAGCAGGATCTCGGAAAGCTGCCGGGCTGCAGTTTCTGCGGCTGACCACCAGATGGAGCATCACCATTCCGTGAGCAGCACCCGGGACGGAGGCCAAAGGAGGGAAGCAGGTGTGCGCACACACACAAACACGCACTCACAAACACGCACTCACACAAACACGCACTCACACCCGCGTATGTGCACACTTCACGTGACACGCCCCGCGCGCAAACACACACACACCTCGTATACACATACTCACACCCCGCATGTACACACACCCCGTGTATACAAAGACACACTCACACCCGCGTATATGCACTCCTCAGGTACACACGCCCCGCGTATGCACACTCACAGCCCGCATTACACACCCCATGTACACACCCTGTGTTCACACACACACACACTCACACCCTGTGTGTACACACACACTCACACCCCGCATTACACACCCCATGTACACACCCTGTGTTTACACACACACACACTCACACCCCTGCGACGGACCGGCTCGGCCGGGAGCAATCAGTCCAACGGAAACAGGACCCCGGGAATGGTGGACAAGGATTCGGCGAGTGACAAACAGACACGACAACTCAAGGAAGTTGTATCTGAGTGTATTTTGCAAAAGCAAGGCATCAGCTTATATAAAATAGATTATTGCAAAAGGACATTTTCCTTGTTTATACATGTGGTTATATTTCTACAAGCAATTATTCTAGGGAGGTAAGCAGGTGTGTTGAGAAAAGATTGTTCTATAACACACTGGTGACAGCCTGCAGTTGCTATTTCTTGTGGACGCAGTTTGGCACCAGTTGCAGTTTTAATCATTAAGCAGTTAGCTCTCATTGTGTTTTGTGCCTCACACTGGTTTTAATATTAACTTGCCTATATTTCTAGTTTTTCTTCCTGTATGGCTTTTTAAGCTGTAGATCTCTACTATAATCTTCTTTTTAGGAATGCTCAAAAATAGTCCCAAGTAGGTTCATTAAAGCTAGTAACTTGATAGTTTTTATCTCAGACTGCTTGCTGTCCTTGTCCAGTCTCCTGTCAGAAGGCTTCATAGAACTATAAAGGAACATTGAGCTTTTGCGCACATAAACAGTATTTTCCAGCCATAAAGACAAGAGCAAAGAGAGTACAGCCAGGAACGCCAAGACCACTAGAGATGCAGCCAAGTCCAGGAGGCATCCTTCCTTGAAGCTCCCGCCTCGGCCCGGTGATTTCTCACGCAGGCTCCACTGGAGATGGCGTGACACACCCTGCATTACACACCCCATGTACACACCCTGTGTTTACACACACACACACACTCACACCCTGTGTGTACACATCCCCATGTACACAACCTGTGTTTACACACACACACACATACAGACACACCTCGTGTACACACACCCCATATTCACACACACACTGTGTATATACACCCCCACACACACACACACACACATGCACACCGCATACAGGCATCCCATATACACACACCACGTACCCACACATACCCCAGGTACACACACACCGTATACACACACACACACACACACAGGTGCCCCCCATGGTGCAGATCATCGCAGAGTCAGACACCATGCAAATTGTCACAATCTCCTTCCCTTGTCGTGCCCGCCTGTGTCGTTGGAATCACCCGAGCTCAATGCGCGTGCAACGAGCCTCCATCACGCACACCGTGCAGGCGGGGCAGGGGCCGAGCCTGCTCTAGCAGGGAAAGTGTTCCGGATACACAACCTCACGCACACCCCTCGTTCTTCTCGGGCAGCCAATGCTTCCGCGTGTGTGGTGGCAGACAGACAGTGGGTCCTTCCATGCCTGCTTCCTGCGGATCTACCTGTCAGATAAACACAAGATTTCTGAAGAGGAAGAGCAGAGGCGCTGGGGACTCGGAGCAGGGAGGGCACCCCTGCTCTGTGTGAGGCTCCCAGCAGGCCTGCCGGAGAAGCACCAGGAGGGGCGGCCAGCGGCCAGCAGCGCAAGGGATCCAGGGCTCTCGCACGGTGGCATACCCTGTGCAGTGCCAGCGTCTCGTCTAGCTCTCCCCTAACACGCCTGGGAATGCGGCAGAGCATCATGCCTTCATAATGACCTGGAGGCACTGGTAGCATCAGGAGCAGGGGCGTAAATGAATATTCAGGAGGAAGGGAGCTGGGGGTGGGGCTTCCGTGCAGCCCATCCCCCCCCTCAGGTATAGAAGAAGGGAGTAGGAGTTTCAGTCATGGCTATTTTATTAAAGATTAATTTTTTTTTTATTGGAAAGGCAGATACAGAGAAGGAGAGGCAGAGAGGAAGATATTCCCAACTGACCACAATGGCCGTAGCTGAGCTGATCCAAAACCAGGAACCAGGAGCCTCCTCTGGGTCTCCCACGGTCCCAAAAGTTTGGGCCTGTCCTCGACTGCTTTCCCAGGCCACAAGGAGGGAGCTGGATGGGAAGTGGAGCAGCTGGGATATGAACAGGCGTCCATGTGGGATCCTGAACAGGATAGGTGAGGACTTCAGTTACTAGGCTATTGTGCCGGGCCCCATGGCTATTTTATTAAGATGACCTTACAACCGGCTAAAGGCAGGAAGGAAATCCACAGCCTTGGGGTTCGTGTTTAGCAGCGCCAGGTTCGCACAAAGGATTTAGAAGGAGCAGCCTCGTGCTCGCCACTCCTCCGTGCCTGTGACAGCTGGAGTTTACAAAGGTGTGTGAACGAAGCAGCACAGTTGGGCTGTCAAAAACAACCCCTCAAAACGCGGGCAGAGCATCGCTCACAGCAGCCCTGAACCACTGCTTCTGCAATGTGCTGTCCTCACGCGGTGCGGCAAATCCGAGGTCTCCGTCTAGTGGTCACTCCTGCTCCCCAATCAGGTTAAAAAATATTAAATAATAATTTTTTAAAAAGCCGTCACTGCTCTGCATTGTCATTCAGTACAGACGGCCCTTGGGGGTGAAAGGCTCATATATGGTCGTATAGGATTTTCTATCGTAACTCAGAATATAACTAGTGGGCTCTGGCTTAGTTGTTTATTCCTTTGAAAAGCACAGTCGGGAACACCGTGCAGGTGCAACAAACTCGGGTCCTGCCGGAAGCCGGCCTTGCACAGGAAGGCGGTTCTCCATCTCGGGCTCCCACGCAGCAGCGATGCCCGGCGAGGACCCTTCCTGAGGGCCGGGCGCTCACACCCGCCCAGCTCCTCTGCAGGCGGGAACCCGGTAAACGAACCCTGCCCGGAAACGCCGCCAGCCACGTGGAGGGCGGGGGCGGGGCTCGCGCCGTAACGCCGAGAGGGCGGGGCCTGCCCCGCGCACGCGCACTCCCGCCAGTGAGGGCTGCTGGGCCGGATGACGTGGCCTGGCGGCGTCCCCGCCGGTACTGTCCTCCCGGGAACCCGGGCGCAGCGGCCGGAACGGGCCGGGGCCTAAGTCCCGACGGCGACGCTCGTGGCTGCCTGGACGCGGGAGCTGGGGAGGCGCGGCCAGCCGGCATGCGGGGCCCGGGCGGCGCCGCTGCCCTGCGGGAGTGATCCGAGACATGAGGAGCCGGCGCGGCCGGGGCAGCGGCGGCGGCTCGTGAGCCCGGAATGGAGGACCGATACGGCGGGGACGTGCTGGCCGGCCCGGGCGGCGGCGGCGGCCTGGGGCCGGTGGACGTGCCCAGCGCCCGGTAAGCAGAGGCCGGCGCCCGGGCCCGGCTCCCGCTCGTGGGGCCGCGATCTCCCCGGAGGGACAGCCGGGAGCCGCTCGCTTCACCTTTCTGACAAATGGCTGTGGGCGGGGAGACCAGGTGTGGCGGCCCGCGAGTGCGGGTTGAACTTGACCGCCCAGCAGGTCCAAGGGCTCAGACTCAACATCTGGTTTGGGGTTTTCTTGGGGATGCGTGGGGGGTGCTCGTTAGCAAAAGATGCAAGCTGCACAGAGTGAAAAAAAAAAAAAAAAGACAGGGTGCGGGGACCAGAGTCTGGTCCAGGGAGCGACCGCTTTGCCACCCTGGCCCACCTGGCAGGTGGGGTCAGACCTACACAAAGTACAGCCCAGTGACGCGGTGGCCTCTGTAATGTTATGAAAGGTGATTTTTGATAAGTTCTTCAGCCATAGCATGATTAACCAAACTTGTTCTTGTGGAAAGAATAGTACGGACTGCTGCAGCACCGCTTCCAAGCACCTGCGCTTGGAGTTTAAATGGAGTTTAAATGGAGTTTAAATGCTGCAGCCGTAGCAGCTCGCTAGGTCGGTAACAGCCCATCTGATGTTTATTATGGAAACGTGCTGTCTGAATGCAGTAAGCGATTCTGGTCTGGATGGGGGGATGATGCTGGGAAAACTGCTGTGCACGGTGTCACGAGGTCTCTTGGCGACGTTGGACTGTGGACCGCAGATTTAACCGATAAATTTCCCGAGGTTGGTAATAACTGCAGGTTTTACAGGGAAACATCCGTGTTCATAGAAAATGCAAGTTTTAGAAGTGAAGAACCATAATGTGTGTGTGTGTGTGTGTGTGTGTGTGTGTGTGTGTGTAAAACTTAATCTTAAAAATTTCAGGGTGAGAACATGCTTAGTGTATATCCAGAGTGCATGAACAGGTAGGGGCTGACGTGGTGACATAGCAGAGTAAGCCACCGCTTGCCTCACTGGGCCACCTCAGTCCTCGGCTGTTCCACTTCCGAGCCAGCTCTGTGCTAACCTGGGAAAGCAGAAGAGGGCCCACGAACTTGGCCCTTGACACCCACGTGGGAGGCTCACGTGAGGGTCAGACTGCGGGCTTTGGCCTAGCCCAGCCCCAGTGTCTCAGCCCTTCGGGGAGTGAGGCAGCAGGTGGAAGATCAGCTTCTCTTATTGCCTTCAGTAGAAGTGAATGTTGGTTAAGGCGTTAGTTACTTCTTTCAAAGTTGGAGTTAGACAGAGAGATCGTCTATCCACTTGTCCACTCTGGCCAGATCCAGGCTAGAACCAAGCCAGGAGCCAGGAGCTTTTTCCTGGTCTCCCACACGGGTGCAGGCTTCCAGGCACTTGGACCATCCCGGGCTGCTTTCTTCAGTCCTTTAACAGTGAGCTGGCTGGGAAGTGGAGCAACTGGGTCTTGAAGCCACACCTGTACGGAATGCCAGCCTTGGGCAGCGTTACTTGCTCTGTCACAACACCGGTCCCAATTGTGGGTATTCTTCTACCTGAGGCTCATAGGTGTGGACCCGAGTCCAGCGGTCAGCGTGGCCAGGCTCACACGAGCAGAGTGTGCCAGGCTTTGGCATCAGTAACGCTTTTGCAGGGATAGTAGCCATAGCTGACTGCCTGCTGGTGGGGGGCTGGTGCGTCCCGGAAGGCCAGTGCCCTCAGTGAAGCACCTGCTCCCCTCCCCCCATCCTTGGCAAGGAAGCTGCTGCGTGCATCCTTGCGTAACGCAAACGTTGAAGTCTCCAGAGTGTGTGGTTTAGCTGCTGTAGCAGGTGCTTCGGCTGCTGCAGTCGGGAGGACTTCCCCAACTGGAACTTTAAAAATCGAAGAATCCAACTTTTGGTTAAATTGTTTTAAAACAAAAGTTTCCATAATTAAATATTGTTAGAAAAAGATCTAGTAAATGGAAAATCACATAGAGTACTACAGTATGTGCAGTTGGGAAGGTGTGGGTGGCTGTAAAGCAATATTTGTGTACATACATGGAAATGGTTTGGAGGTAAACCTGCTAGCTTACCCTAAAGGAGGAAATCGAGCATGGTGTTATACAAACTTTTGCAACCAACCATTGGAGAATTTTACAATTAAGATTTTAACTTTTTTTAATTTCTTTTTTTTTTTAATTTTTTAAAAAAGATTTATTTTTATTACTTATTTGTTGGAAAGGCAGATATACAGAGAGGAGAGACAGAGAGGAAGATCCTCCGTCTGATGATTCACCCCCCAAGTGAGCGCAACGGCCGATACGCGGGTGCAGGGTCCCAAAGCCCTGGGCCGTCCTGGACCGCCCTCCCGGGCCACAGGCAGGGAGCCGGAAGGGAAGCAGGGCTGCCGGGATAGAACTGGCGCCCACATGGGATCCCGGGCGTGCAAGGAGAGGACCGTAACCACTGCGCCACTGCGCCGGGCCCTATTTTTTTTATTTCTTATGTGGAAGGCAGAGAGATAAGAAAGAGCTTCCATCGATCAGTTCGCTCCCCCAGTGTATGCAACATCCCGTCCTGTGCCAAGTCAAGGCCAGGAGCTTCATCTAGGTGTCCCTCCTAGGTGGCAGAGTCCCGAGCCCTTTGCCGGCGTGTACGGCCTCCCAGGACACAACAGCAGGGAGCTGAAATGGAAAAGGAGCCAGGTCTGAACCCAAGCACGCCTGTTTGGGTGCAGGTGTTCAAGGAGTGTGTTAAACGCTGGGCCCAGCACCCACTCCTACTCCTTAACTTAAAGTGGGAATAGAGTGTCAGACCATCAGAGTAATACATTATCAAGAAGTATATTGTGGGGAGCCGGTGGGTGAGGCCACGCCTGTGGCTCTGGCTTCCCATTGGGGCACCGCTTTTTAAGTTTTGTTAATACTTTAGAAAGTATTTGTGTATTACTCCCCTGAAAGCCAAAATAGTCAGTGTAACCGAACCTCTTTGGTTTCTGGCAGTCAGGTGGTGACCTAAGTACCATGATGTCCCCTCGGAGGTTTCCTGCAGGTGCTGGTGCTTCGTGTACCTGTTGTGTGTTTTGAGAGGTCCCTCCCTTTATTTGATCATTCCTAACTTGCTCACCTCTCACTCTGTAGAGGTGCCCATTCCTTCCCCAGTCGTAAGCGGAAGTCTGCCAAAGGCATGCGGCCCTGTCCTTCCCAGCCAAGCACCAGCTCCTTCAGGCCGGGGTCTCTGCTGCAGTCTTGGATAGCACCTGCAGTGGCTGAGTTGTGAGGAAGCAGAGCGGCCGCCTTTGACGCCGCTGTTCCAGCCCTACTTCTCTGCCTCCGCTCCAGCCCCCTGCTGGGGTACCGGGCAGGTAGCAAAGAACGGGCTCCTGCCACCCACATGGAGAGCCTCACGGGAGGTCAGGGCCCCGGCTAGGGAGGCCATTTGGGAAGTGAACCAGCAGGTGGAAGTCCTGTCTCTTCCTCTCTCACATTCTTCCTTTTACATAAATAAAATAAATCTTTAGCAATCTGAGCATTGTGATGTAGTGGGTTAAGGCGCCATTCTAACTCGTGTCCAGGTCAGCGTGTTCCTCTGCTTCCTGACCACTGCACCTGCAGTCCAGCTCCTTGCTAACGCACCTGCCGAGGAGTGGACGGGGGGCCGGAGTCACTGGCTCCCTGTCCCCCACGTGGGAGACTACAGAGCAGTTCCTGGCTCTGGCTTCAGCTTGGCCCATCCCTGGCTGGCGAGGCCATTTGGGAAGTAAGCTAGCAAATGGAAGCTCTCTCTGTCTTTCTCTGTCACTCTGCCTTTCAAATAAATACATCTTTTCAAAAAGAACTAAGAATTCGGGGCCAGGCTCAATGGCTCGGTTTTGGCTAATCCTCCCCTTGCTGGTGCTAGGATCCCATTTGGGCACCAGTTTGTGGCCTAGGAAAGAGCAGAGAGTGGCCCAAAGCCTTGGGGTCCTGCACCCACATGGAGATCCGGAAGAGGCTTCTGGCTCTTAGTTTCAGATCAGCTCAGTCCTGGTTGTTTGAACCAGTGGTATTGAACCCTGGGGATTGAACCGTGGATGGAAGATTTTTTTCTTTCTCCTTCTCTATGCAAATCTGCCTTTGCAATAAAAATAAGTAAATGTTAAAAATTAAGAATGTATTACATTTAGGGTCCGCTGCGATAGCGTAGTAGTTAGAGTCCTTGCCTTGCAAGCACCAGGATCCCTTATGGACGTCAGTTCTAATCCCGGCGACCCTGCTTCCCATCCAGCTTCCTGCCTGTGGCCTGGGGAAGCAGTCGAGGACGGCCCACAGCCTTGGGTCCCTGCACCAGCGTGGGAGACCCAGAGGAGGCTCCCGGCTCCTGGCTTCTGATTGGCTCAGCTCCAGCCATTGCGGCCGCTTGGGGAGTGAGCCATCGGATGGAAGATCTTCCTCTCTGTCTCTCCTTCTCTCTGTATATTTGCCTTTCCAATAAAAATAAATAAATCTTTAAAAAAGAAAGAAAGAAAGAATGTGTTATGTTTATAGAAAGCGGAGGTTGCTGGTATTAGGAATCCTCAGTGAGGCGGTCTGGGACCTAAACTGTATGTACTTGACACTCTGCCATATTCAGCTCACTATAAAGCAGCTATGGCAGCTTTTGATTTTTATTTCTTAAAATGTAGTTTAGGTAAACTTTAGATTGAAATGCTCCGTTTAGGCAAGAATAAGTTGGAAGTAGCTGCAGGTACTTCTTGCCTTCCTCTCAGGGCGGGAGCCCCTGGCACTCCGACCCCAGGGCAGGCTGTGCCCCGCCCCCCAGCCCCTCGAGCTCCGACCCCAGGGCAGGCTGCGCCCGGGAGCCCCTCACACTCCGACTAGGTGGCTGTATGGCCCGGTGACGCCCAGGCAGGATTCCTGGCAGAACTGGAATCCCCGGACTGCTCTGTGTCGCACGCACCTCCGTCCGTGTTGTGTTTCCGAATCTTGTTCCTTGAGTGCTGGTTGCTGTGCTGCTGCCTTGTTCAAACACCTGGTTAAGTGTATCGGGAGCTGCGACCTTTCTCGTTTCACTCTGAATTCTGTCTGGGTCCCTGACAGTTGAAGTTGCCAGAAGCTTGGTTGCCACCTGTGTGCCGCGTCCCGCTGCTGTGGGTGCTGCCTGAGGATCAGTGTCACAGTGACATTGTAGAGGTGGCCGTCTTTCCTTTGGTAGACATTTCCTGAGCACATGTTATACTAGTCCCTGTGATAAGAACTGGGTAAACTAGGGCTTCCCAGCTCCGCTATTATTTTTGTGAGCTGATTATTAAATGCTGCCAGAAACAGAAGCATTAGTCTTAATATAGTTAATGTACTTCTGCTTATGAATTCTTGTCCAGCTTAAGTAAGCCAAAGTCCTAATTAATCTTAGTTTCATAGGTATCATGTTTTTCATCCTTGTTTGGCGCAGCAGCTGCGAGCATCCCGCTTGGGCCTCGCCTTAACTCCCTGCTCTCTGCTGACGCCGTCCTCTAGGAGGCGCGGACATTGCTCACAGCATCGCGTTCCTGCCGGCATGTGCAAGACCTGGATTAAGTCCTGAGCTCCTGGCTCCTGCCCCGCCCCGGTTACAGCCGCTGTGGATGTCTGGGGAGTAAACCGACAGATCAGGGCATACTCTCTGCCTCTCAAATAAGTTGTTTAAAAATATTTTAGTGTTCTGCAGGGCACAGTGTGCATGTGCCCCTGGCAGCAGCTGATAGATATGCACCCTTAAGAGGCGTGGCTTCACCCTCCCTGGCTCGGAGTCTTCGGGATGGCCGACGTTGAGCCCGGGGGATGTCCGATGTTTCTCACCTCCTCCACGCGAGTGCCGTCTTGGTTTTCTAGTACGTGTGTGTTTGCTTTCATACCTGGATAATTGCTAGGGATTTGATGGGTTTTCCAGAAGTGTTCTCTGGGCTGCTAGGATTTGGGAGTTAAGTGAGAAGAAGAGCTGAGAGAAACTTGCTTTTCTCATCTCCGTGGTTTTTGCCCAGCACTCATCCGCGCGTGTGTCTGCATGGCTCTGCGGCCCACAGCTCCTGAGGTGCTTGGCAGCTGTGCCTGGCAGGAGCCTGGGGGTTTGCTTGTGTTGACTGTCCTATTCCAAAGCAGACTTCTAAATAATCCAGACATTTCAGTTAACCAAGAATGTTTTTTTTTAGTTTGACACTGTAGGATTGATTGATTTATGTGAAAAGTGGAGCTACCAAGGAGATGGATCTTCCATCTGCTGGTTCACTCCCCAAATGGCCTGCAGTAGCCACGCTGTCCCAGAGCAAGATGAAGGACCAAGAGTTCCATCTTGATCCCTGAGACGGAAGGCAGGGACCCAAGGACTCGGACCAGAGCGCGGCAGCCAGCACTCAAACTGGCGCTCCAGTGAGCCCAGTCTTTAAGTGGCACCTTAACCCACTATACCATAAAGCCTGCTTCACCTCTCTCTCTCTCTCTCTCTCTCCTTTCTCTCTCTCTTTTTTTAAAACTCTAACATTTACCTATCTACTTGCAAGAACAGGGGCAAGACAAGAAAGTGGTACTTTTGCTTCTTTAAGTTTTATTTTTATTAGAAAGGCAGATTTACAGAGAGAAGATACAGAAAGTTCTTCCATCTGCTGGTTCACTCCTCAAGTGGATGCAATGACCAGAGCCGAGCCAATCCAAAGCCACAAGCTTCTTCTGGGGCATGCAAGGCAAGGACTTTAGCCACTACGCTGCTGTGCCAGGCCCAAGAAAGTGGCACTTTTTAAAAATAGACTCCATCGGGCCCAGTGCGATGGCACAGTGGTTAAGGTCCTCGCCCAGGAGCCCATATGGGCGCCGGTTCTAATCCTGGCAGCCGCACTTCCCATCCAGCTCCCTGCTTGTGGCCGGGGAAAGCAGTCGAGGACGGCCCAAAGCCTTGCGACCCTGCACCCGCGTGGGAGACCCGGAAGAGGCTCCTGGCTTCGGATCAGCATAGCATCGGCTGTTGCGCTCACTTGGGGAGTGAATCATCAGATGGAAGATCTTCCTCTCTGTCTCTCCTCTCTGTATATCCGCCTTTCCAATAAAAATTTAAAAAATAATAATAAATAAATAAATCTTTAAAAAAATAGACTCCATCATCAAGTCTCAGGTCACCCCAGGCTAGATCCCCAACTACATCACTGAACTCAAACTCTAGCCATAGCGAAAATCACAAGATATGTAGTCCAGCCTCGGAGCACATGCATCAGGACCAGACCTCCTCCGTTGCTGATGCCCGGGCAGCGAACTGCGTGCCCAGATGCACAGGGAGGACGTGCCGGCCGACTCATTTAGGCCACCAGAGGACAGCGAGTGCCTTGTCAGTGGATGGAAAGCACAACAGGTTTGGTCACTGTCCTGGCCTAGCTTTGCAGCAGGTGCCTGGGTCTGTGGATGTAGCAAGGTGGACTCGGTCAACCAACAGACCTCACAAAGGTTTTCTCAGCCCTGGCGCGACAGAGCCACTGACGTCTCAGAACTATCAGAACCACTCAGATAACACCCTCAGAACACCCTTCGCACTCTGAGGTGTCAGCAAATGACCACCCCCCATCCCCGGCGCTGGTGTAGTTTGACAGCAAGGACTCCCACCCACCCTCTTCACCCTAAGTGGAGGCCCGCGTGGGTCCGCAGCCCTCTCAATTGTGTACAAAATGTTAAAAATACAAGAGATTGCCTATAAATAATTGCTGCTGTGCATTGGAAAGGGATCACAGAAACAGGCCAGCAGGTCGGAGGGGACCACGCGGGTGGGGCGCAGTCTGCCACGTCGCTTCCTTCATGTCAGTATTTCCGTGGTTTCTGTAATCACCTGTGCTGTGTGATCATAACAAAGGACATCACTGCGGCCCTTGTGACGTCAGAGATCCTGAAGTTTGTTTCCGCTTTTGTTTTTCAGGCTAACGAAATATATTATATTACTATGCTTCACTAAAGTTTTGAAGGCTGTGGGACTTTTTGAATCATATGATCTCTTAAAAGTAGTTCACATTGTTCAGTTCATTTTTATATTAAAACTTGGGTAAGTGTCTCCAGGTTTCTTCATAATTTTTCTTTCTTTGAGGATTTCAGTCTCTGTGGAAACCTTTATATGTAGATTATTTGGTGTAATTCATTTCTCCTTAAAAGTGCTTGCTTTATTTGTTTGTTTTTAGCATGTAGAAGAATACCTAAGATTGAAAGTACATAAAATGAAGAAAAAACAATGTTGTACTCTGATCACTTTCCGAAACACAGACTTGCTTTTGTTTGTGTTCGATGCTTGCCAAGTTTTACCACTTGGGTTAATCCAAGACAGAGGGTCTTGTCAGCCCCAGCTCTCCGTCTTGCATTTCCTCGGTCATCTAGCTTCTGAAACACTCCACTGGAAAGAGCAGGTGCTGTCTTGGTGCTTCTGGAAAGCCCGTTTGAGCCCGGCAGACTCCCAGCTCATAGCATCAGCTCCTGTGTGAGTCTGCTTAGCTAGCCAGGTCTTCAGGCTCGCTTGTTGTATTCAGTCAAAGCCTGCCGGTAGGCGGTCACCCTTCCTGCAGTCCAAGCTTCCTGCTACTCTGTACGGTTGTCATAGTAACATGGCCACTCTCCGTGATAACAAGAATCCAGTAAAATGAGAACATACTTTTAGGAGTCTGGAGGAATATCGGCTAGGAAATTATAGGCTGCAGTTGTTGCATTTTCCAATTTTGTTATTGCTGAACTTTAGACATGATAGGAGTTATTATTTTCTCTCTGGCATTTCAAGTTACCCCCCCCCCCAAAAAAAAACCAGACCCCTTTACCTTGGTGGTTTATGAACTGGTACCGAAGACGGTTCAAGAAGGTTCCAGTGAGAGCCTGGTGGGCGTGCACTCTGCAGGATGATTTCTGTGCAGCGCAGAGCACCTTTCAACTCTAGGGCGGTTAACTAGGGTGGTTAACTAGAGTGGTTAACTAGGGTGGTTTAACTAGGGAAGTTAAAATTACCACGTGGAAACCATGGCTCCTGTTTTATGTTGATTCCTTTCTTACAGAACTGCAGTTTTTATGGTTTTGTTTCAAAAACCATTTTCTTCTGGGAAAACCATTACCAAACACCAGGTGAGTTTTTTTTTTTTTTTCAGATTATTTTATTTCGTTATCTTATTCCTGGAAACTTCCCTTTCGGCGGGACAGGACACGGTGCTCATTCTCTCTTCCCTTCCTTATGCACTTGGAAGGTGGAATGGCAGAGGACGGGAGGATCTTCTATTTGCTGGTTCCTTATCCAGATGCCCGCAGCAGCCACGTGTGGGCCAGGCTGAAGCCAGGAAGGGGCAGAGAACTCTGTCCGAGTCTGCTGTGTGGGTGGCAGGGGGGGCCCGAGCCTTGGGGCATCATCTTCCGCCTCACGAAGCTGGGTCAGAGCGAGAGGAACTGAGCCCAGGCACCCCAGACAGGCCCAGTGCCACGAGGCCCAGCGCTCGCTTCAGTCCCCGGCGGAGCGTGGTCCAGTGGGACTTGTCCTTGGCTCTGGGTTTGTCTTTTCCAGCTCAGCCTTCAAGATGAGCTGTAGTGCCAAGGCAGAGGAATGTGGGAAGACGTAGCAAAGGGTAGGCGGCGTTCTTGTGAGTGCTGCTGGCCAGGGAGGTGTGTGCAGGCTCCCAGCGTTAGCATCCCTGCAGGCTGCAGGGCCTGGCGGCTAACAGGAAGCGCTCTGTAATTACGCAGGCTCATGTTCTGTCTTGTTTAGAGCTTTTAGCTTTGGGCAAGTTATTTTAATTTCTCTCTCATTTGCTCAGCTGTAAAACAAAATCAACACTGTCTTGATAAAGGAATAAAGTAATCTATTTAAAGTTCCTATAAACTATAAATAATTTATGTAAAGTTCTTAATGTGCCTGACACGTGTATATGCCGTGTTATTAGGTGCAATCCACAGCTCTTGTCTTCATTGCCATGATTGCCCTTAAATAGGATAAATATTTGAAACTGCATCTTCTCTCTCTCTCTCTTTTTTTTTTTTTTTCAAATAATTGGATCACTGAAAATTCCTGATGAAGAATTTTAAGATCAAAACTAGGGAAGGTGTTGTGGTCTAGTGAACTAAGCCACTGCTTGAGGCGCGCACACTGCATGCCAGGGTGGCCGGTTCCAGTCCCACACACTTCTCATCCAGCTTCCTGCTCACACACTTGGTGGGGCGGCCAGTAATGGCACAGCTCTTGTGTTCCCACCAGCCACATGGGTAAGCCCAGTGGAGTTCCCGGCTGCAGCCTGGCCTGTCCCTGGCTCTTTGGGAATATTTGGAGAGACAACCAACAGGAAAAAAAAAATATGTGATTCTTTTCCTTTCAAATAAATCAATCTTAAAAATAGATGTTCCTAGGAAAGTAGTGAGAAAACAGAAAACTGTACTCTGTAGGATTCAAGATCTGAGCAGGCTAGAATCTAGCCGACGGAAAGCAGTGCTAACTTGAACACCGAGAATTAGCCACGGGTTCCTAGCATTTTCTAGTTAACTTCAAAATATGAATCTTTTAATCTTGAAAATACTTGTGTTGCCATTGTGTGTTTCCTTGCGTGTTTTACTGTCAGGGTTGCGACACTTCGCAAAACGTATGTAACTCAAATCTCTGATGTTTGGTTTCTATTTGCAGTGGATCACAATATTCAAACACGCAGTGTCTGGGTGTATCATATCACTCTTGTGGTTTTTTGGCCTCACGCTTTGTGGACCACTAAGGTAAATGAGAATTAATATTTCTATGAGTTTGTTGCCTTATTCTGAATAGTAATTTTGTCATTCTGTGAATGTCGTCAGTGTATTTGCTCATGACCTGTGGTAGGTATTTTACTCGTTAGAATCTGAGGAAGAGCTTCATAAAGTTTATAGCATAAGTAGAGTTTTTTTGAATCATTCATTAGTGGTCTTTTTTATAAGCTAATCTAGATATGAAATAGTAAAATTAAGCAGTAAGGAAAGTTAAAAAAAAAATTCTTTTTAAGATTTATTGTACTTGAAAGAATAACAGACAAGGTGTGACAGAGAAAGCTCCAGAGTTTTCATCTGTTTCACTGCCCGGATGGCTGCAGTGATCAGGGCTGAAACCAGGACTGAGCAACTCCCAGCAGGGTCCCTGAGCACGTGGCCACTGCTCTCACTGTCCGTCAGGGTCCCCAACTCCCGGCAGGGTCCCTGAGCTCACTGTCCATCAGGGTCCCTAACCCCGTGGCAGAGAGCCGAGCATGTGACCGCTGCGCTTACTGTCCAGGCTTGTTGTCAAGGAGCCGGGATAGAAGGTGGGCAGCTGGGACTTGAGCTTGTGTTCCACTATGGGATGCTTGATCCCACAGCGTGGGCCCTGGGAAAACAAAAACATTTAAAAAGCAGTTATGTGTGCTTTTTTGTTTGTGTTGACAACTCTGCAAGTAGCCCTGTAAACCAGTATTTGAGGATTAGGGTAGCCACATCAGACTAAAATGTAGCAGGTTAAGACTGTGGTTAGTTCGTATTCCCCCAGATCTGTAGCATGAATGGTTTTGTGCAGATCAGCCAATTTCAGGCAAATGTTTGCGGGGTGCTTACGGGGGATAACGGGCAGATGATGGTACCTCCGTGGAGATGCCACTTGGGATGGCCAGCCCCTCTCAGTGCCTGCGTTTGAGTCCCAGCCCCAGTTCTGATCCAGCCCCCTTCTGATGGGCATCCAGCATCCTAAGCCTTTTGGTCATTGTTGAGTTGCTGTTTCCATTCCTTTGGTTTTCTATAAATTTCACCACATATTTCTCTTTTTTTTATATTTAACTTTGCAAACCTTTTGCTTTATTAATATAGTTGCATTGCGTGTATTTTTTCTGCAACATGGCTTCTTCCATTCAGTGCTTGTTTACATTTGATACTTACAGATCATATTTTTTATCATGACAGCAAATACTTACTGAGAGCTATATAATTCATTTCTAAGCAGTTTTTAAAACTATAATTCATGTGTCTAAAAATTTACCCTTTAAATGATATATTTTAATATTTGCTTGTGTGTTCATAGAGTCTCTTTCATTCTTGTTGCTGTATAATACTGTTTTATTCAGTCTGTTATTAGTTCCTATGTAACTTGTTTTCACATTTTTGCCCGTTGCTCGCAGTACTGCTGTGTGCAGTATTGTGTACTGTAACCCTGGAATGGTAATGGGTGCGTTCAGCTTTGCGGGGTAGATATGTCACAGAATGCCCAAGCCGTCCCTCCTGCTCGTCACGTTGTCTTCTAAAGTCCAGGCGCAGTGTTTATTTTCTTTTCCCTTACTCTGGCTGAATTTGCGCTTTATTTATTATGTATGCATTATGTTATGCGTGTACTTGTAAAGGTATTATGTCCTGTTTCCGTAGGACTTTGCTGCTATTTGAACACAGTGACATTGTTGTCATCTCGCTGCTGAGTGTTTTATTCACTAGCTCTGGAGGAGGACCAGCAAAGGTAGACTTCTCCCCTACCAGTTATTAAATTGAAATTGTAACATAAGACGTCACCGGGGGGCATTAAAGTCACATCTGTTACCACTGAGAAGAGTGTGGGGACTTTCTTTACTTTCTATCTTGGAGTGGGTTGTAAGAGTCCTAGGAAGTTGTCAGGGCTAGAGAGGTCCCTGGAGCCCTCCCCCAGTGTGCTCCAAAGGGACCTGCTTCTCCAGCACAAGTGTCAGAACCAGGAAGTTGCACATCAGTGCACTTCAGCCCACATCAGTGCACTTCAGCCCCGGTAAATCACTTTTGGAAAAAAGCTAAGAACTTATTATATAAATTGTCTGGTGAAAATTTGCATTTTGCCAACCAAGCATCCCTCTTCCTCTTAAGTCATTCTGGTGTCATCTGTGGTTAGTGTGTTGCCAATCTGTAACTCAAAATGGTTAGCTCCCGTGCTGTTTCTGTTTTACCAGAGTAAGTGATTCCTGAAGCAGGATGGGTCACCCGCACCCTAGAGAAGGCAACTGCAAAAATTCAGCCAGGGTTCTCATTCCGAGTGGGCCTGCCCAGAGCTGCACTCGCCAGGCTGGGCATCTGGTTTCAGCACGAGAATGATACAGACTCCACTGAAAGTTGGGCTAGGTAGTCAGATTATCCGAAATAACCCCCCTCTGAAAAGCCACAGAACAAAATTTTACAAAACTGAGGGGAGAAGAAAAGACTCTTGCACCTAGCGCTTTATTCTAGACAAAAGGGAAAGCAAAAATAAAGACAAAGAAGGTGTAATGCTCCTTATTCTGAAAAAAGAATTTCCTGATAACAGAGGCAGGCAGAAAGGGTCAGGTAGAGCAGAGTAAGAGAGGGTAGGGTGTAGCCTGTGGCTTTGAAACCGGGTCATTATCATTTAAGCAAAGGCCACGACCTCGTGCTTTTCTCAGACTTAAAGACTGTTTCCAAGTAAATTTGAAGCGGATTGATAACTTTGTGGGTTTAAAAAATTGTTTTTTTTTTTTTTTTTGAAACATAAAATAAAATCATAAATAGGCAAGAGGAACTTATAAAAGCAACAGAAGAAATTTCAAGAGGAAAATTCACTACAGTTGACTTCATAATGATTCTAGATTACAGAGCAGAAATCATTGCTGTTATATGTATGTGGAATATAGTTAAATATTACATGTCATAAATAGCCATACTACACAGGAAGCATTATACCTATAAGTTTGAAAATACAAAATATGTAGTAATGTTAGATTGTCTTTATAGTTAGCATCTTAAAACGTTTATAAATGAAGCCGATAGCACCTTTCTATTTTATTTTGTCAGAATCCTTTAGAATGGGAACATGACGGTAAAGGCCTACTGAGCTACGACCTACTTTACACCTTAACTGGCTCTTGGAAATGGCGGATAATTTTATTAACATGCCTGGGTTGTTTTTCCTACAGGCGAATCTTAAATAAGTCTCTATTAGTTACTCTTTAGCTGGGTGGGCTTTTCAGCCCAAGGTGAAGTGACATTTAGGGAAGTTAACTCTGTGAATGGTAACAGTTCGTTTGTAGTGACCCTTCCAGCCACGTCAGCAAGGTCACGGAAGCTGTTGACCTTACGTGGCTGACAGAGCCCTACTCTCATCCCGACCACTGACTGCATCTCCTCGCATTTGTATTTTACTGCTAATACTGTAAGCTGATGGTTATGTAAGAACTTCAATGTCTAGATGTTCTTCTTTCTTTAAATGCTTATTTGGGGGAAAAAAAAAAAAGATGTTCTTTATCATTTGTATGCTTGCCTTACAATCACCCCTTGGAAAAGCTATCTTTGTATTCATTTCTCAGACTAGAGGAGCTGCTTTCTTCATTATTGCTGTGATCTGCTTACTGCTTTTCGACAATGATGATCTCATGGCGAAAATAGCTGAACACCGTATCCTTTCCGAATGCTCTGAAATGCCGATCCGTCATGAGTAAAACTTGCATAGTTTTTCTGGTTGTTGTTGTTTTAAGATTTTTATTCTTATTTTTATTGGAAAGTCAGATTTACAGAGAGAAAGATCTTCCATCTTCTGGTTCACTGCTTAAGTGGCCGCATCACCTGGAGCTGAGCTGAGCTGAAGCCAGGAGCCAGGAGCCTCTTCCAGGTCTCCCACGCCAGTGTAGAGTCCCAAGGCTCTGGGCCGTTCTCTACTGCTTTCCCAAGCCACAAGCAGGGAGCTGGATGGGAAGTGGAGCAGCTGGGACACAAACTGACGCCCATATGGGATCCCAGCACATGCAAGGCAAGTACTTTAGCCACTAGGCTACCACACCAGGCCCCAAATTTCCATAGTTTAATGCAGATATCCTAAATCAGTATTCAAATAATGAACAAATTCGTTGTAAGTTAAATATTTGATGGCATCTTAGCACCTTCTACAATATCGTAATTAACATAAAGTTGGGACATTGAAGAAAGATTTAAACTGTCCTAGTACTTAAAAAAAAAAAATAGAAGCAGGAGGAGTGTTACACAGTGGAGAACTTGTTGCATTCAGCCCAGCTTCCTGCCAGTGGGCTTGGGGAGACAAAGGGTGATGGCCCAGTGCTTGGGGCCTGACAGCCAGGTGGGAAACCCAGCCGGATTTCCGGCTTCGGCATACCCCAGCCCTGGCTGTGGGGGCCATCGGGGAGTGTACCCGCGGGTAACACGTCTCCTCCCTCCGGTCTTCTCTCCTTTCCCTTCTTTCCTTCCCCCACTGCCCTCTGTAACTCTGCCTTTCAGATACATATTTTTCTGATAGATGGTCTGCCACTTGGCAAGTCCAGCCTGGTTTTAGGAATCGGTGGCAGTTATCAAGTATAAACCTTTGATAGTGAGTGAAAAATCTCTAACATGTTGCCTGGGCGAAAACATTTAGACCCCAGTACTTGGTATTTACTTTCTTGCTCTAAATTCTTACTTTCTCCTGAGTCCCCACTCTTCTCTTGTAGAAACCCAAGTTTCCAGTCAAATGTCCACTCATCTCACTCAACATTCACCCCTTCCTCTTTCTTACCCATAGGCCTTTGCCCACTGCATTCCATAGAACTTAAGATACAGATGCTCTCAAATCCGTTAGTAAATTGATAACCATGTTGTTGAGATGCAAGAGGGACCGTGACTAAAGAGAATCCAAGCTGTAGTATTCTCTTCTCCACCCCACCAGCTTGTTATTGGCCGTGCTGGCTCTTACGTGACCGGTGACTTGGGTTCGGAACCGGTACCCCTTTAGAAGGGCAGCCTCTGGGACTGGCACTGTGGTACAGCAGGCTTAGCCTCTGTGACACACCAACAGCCCATATGGACAGCGGTTCCTGCCCTGGCTGCTCCACTTCGCATCCAGTTCTCTCCTTGTGGCCTGGGAAAGCAGCAGAGAATGGCTCAAGTCTTGAAAGAGGCTTCTGGCTCCTAGCTTCAGATCAGCTCATTTCCAGCTGTTGTGGCCATTTGGAAAGTGAACCAGCGGATGGAAAATCTCTCTCTCTGTAACTCCGCCTTTGAAATAAAAATTAGTGATAATAGATGAGGGGCAGGGGGCTCACCTGTTAATCCTGTAGTGGTCCAAGGAGATTGCTTGTTCATGGCTTTATGTCAATTTATACTTTGCATATGAGTGGAGGCTTAATATGAAAATTTATCAACTGTTTCTTACGTACTCTGGCAGTTGCTCTGCAGACAGCAGAAGCAGTAACAATCCGTTCTAATATGTAAGTCTTTTCCCAGAATTCAATTTTGGATTGCGTGTAGGGAAGAGTGTTGTGGAGGGGAGCCATTGGGAATTGCTTCCTTGACTGCAGCCCACCTAGCTGAGGGGCACCACGACAGCGCACTCACTCACATGCTCTACACGGCCATCTCCTTCCTAGGGGTGGCGGACCACAAGGTGGGTGCTTTGCTTCTTCCAGTGGGACCAAAAGGTTACAACGACTTTAAATACACATCTAAAGGGAGTTCTCAGAGTTCAGCTTTGGCCCCAGTGGTTAAGAAGCTTTTTTGACTGCCTGCATCCCTCTCAGAGTGTGTGGGGTAGTGTCCCAGAGTCCCCTTCAGGCTGAAATATCTCCAGGAAGGCAGCCTAGGGTGGCTCCAGTCAGAATCCCTTCCTGCTGAGGCGTCCCGGGAAGGCAGTCTGGGGTGGCTCCAGTCGGTCCCCTTCCTGCTGAGGCGTCCTGGGAAGGCAGTCTGGGGTGGCCCCAGTCGGTCCCCTTCCTGCTGAGGCGTCCCGGGAAGGCAGTCTGGGGTGGCTCCAGTCGGTCCCCTTCCTGCTGAGGCGTCCCGGGAAGGCAGTCTGGGGTGGCTCCAGTCGGTCCCCTTCCTGCTGAGGCGTCCCGGGAAGGCAGTCTGGGGTGGCTCCAGTCGGTCCCCTTCCTGCTGAGGCGTCCTGGGAAGGCAGTCTGGGGTGGCTCCAGTCGGTCCCCTTCCTGCTGAGGCGTCCCGGGAAGGCATTCTGGGGTGGCGGCAGTCTGGGCTGGCTCCAGCGCTTAGCTCACAGGCTCAGCTCACAGCACGCACAAACGCGACACCCTGATTGAAGCCCCTGGCTCCTGACTTCCCATGAAGGGGAAGTAACTAGCATGTAGGAGTTTCTCCATCTTGTCCTCTCTTCCTCTACTCTCAAATGAGTAAAAAGATGAGTAATTAAGTAATTGTTAAGTAACTTAGAATATGGAAAAAAAAAAAAACCATGGTGTGTGTTTCTAATGAGACCTATGTAACTTTATTCATAGGGTGGAGTATTGTTGCTAGTACTGGCTTTGTGTTGTAAAGTTGGTTTTCACACAGCTTCCAGAAAGCTCTCCATAGATGTTGGAGGAGCCAAGCGTCTTCAAGCCTTATCGCATCTTGCTTCTGTCCTTCTGCTGTGCCCCTGGGTCATTGTTCTTTCTCTGACGACCGAGGTAGGAGCAAGCATTTATTGGTAATAAGTAAAATGAATTGGCAACACCTGTAAATGTTAGTTTAGCACACTGCATTTAGTTTTGATCGGAGGTTGAAAATTGCTTAAAATTATCCCTTTGTAGTTTTAAACTGTTGGGGAGGGGACTAAACTCATGTTCTACAGAAGATGCAATTAAAATACTATTGCATTTACATGTCCCTTGCGTTCATGTGGCCCAAAGGAATCAGTCAAGCAATAGCTAGGCATCGTGTCTTAGGCTCATGGTTCACGACTTGTTTAGCGTTTATGAAATTGTCAAATAATAACGGGTCCATTTTCCCCTGATCCCTGGGAGAACCCTGAATACGTGCCAGAACCCTGCAGGTCTTGCGCATTGGCACTTAGCAGTGTTAGTGACTCATGAGGCTGTGTCTTTCTACAAAAAAGGAATAACGAAAGCATCTAAGTGAACATTGCACCTGTGTGGTATTGACAGCTTGTTCTGTTTTGTTTTAATTTCTAGAGTAAAGTTGAGTCTTGGTTTTCTCTCATTATGCCTTTCACGATGGTTATTTTTTTTGTCATGATCCTGGATTTCTATGTGGATTCCATTTGTTCAGTCAAAATGGAAGTTGCCAAATGTGCCCGCTATGGATCCTTGCCCATTTTCATTACTGCTCTCCTTTTTGGAAATTTTTGGACCCATCCCATAACAGACCAGCTTCGGGCCATGAGCCGAGCGGCACACCAGGGGAGCACGGAGCACGTTCTGTCTGGAGGAGTGGTCGTGAGCGCCGCGTTCTTCATGCTCTGTAAGCATCTGCCCACTTAGTGTCTGGCCCAGGGTCTCTAGGGTTCGGATGATCCAATCATTTGTTTGATCTGGAAAATTGTTTATGATCTTCTATTTTCGCTTGTTATAGCGGCCAACATCTTATCGTCCCCTTCTAAGCGAGGGCAGAAAGGCACTCTGATTGGATATTCCCCCGAAGGAACACCACTGTACAACCTCATGGGGGATGCGTTTCAGCACAGCTCCCAGTCCGTCCCTCGGTTCATTAAGGAATCGTTGAAACAGATTCTCGAGGAGAGTGACTCGAGGCAGATCTTTTACTTCTTGTGCTTGAATCTGGTAAGATTTTTCCTAATTTAAATATTTGTTTCGATATTTACATTTCTAAAGTTTATTTTGAAAGGATTCTGTAGAGAGCGAGAGTCAGAAAGAGCTTCCATCTACAGTTCACTCCCCTGCTGACGACAGCCACCTGCCCTGGGCCAGGCCAAAGCCAGGAGTCTCATCCAGGTCTCTGACTTGGGTTTCAGAGGTCCAAACACTTGGGCGATTTTCCACTGCTTTCCTGGGCCAGCAGCAGGAAGCTGGGTCCAAAGTGGAGCAGGCGGGACTCGAACCATTGGTGTGGGTGCTGGCAGTAGCTTTACCAACTGCACCACAGCACCAGCTCCAAAATGTTTAAATATCCTTTTTTTTTTTTAAACTCTGCCTTGATGTTTTTTAGTTTTTATTATTTTTTTAAAAACTGAGATTGTGGGCCCGGCATGATGGCGCAGTGGTTAAGGTCCTCGCCTTGCACACCCAGGATCCCATATGGGCGCTGGTTCTAATCCTGGCAGCCCCGCTTCCCATCCAGCTCCCTGCCTGTGGCCTGAGAAAGCAGCCAAGGACGGCCCAAAGCTTTGGGACCCTGCACCCGCGTGGAAGACCCAGAAGAGGCTCCTGGCTTTGGATCGGCATAGCATTGGCCGTTGCGCTCACTTGAGGAGTGAATCAGTGAACGGAAGATCTTCCTCTCTGTCTCTCCTCTCTATATATCTGCCTTTCCAATAAAAATAAAATAAATCTTTAAAAAAAAATAAAAGACATATTGTTTCAAAGACAGAGAAAGAGAGCATGCTCTTTCATGTGGTAGGTCAGTCTCCAAATAACCAAAGTAGTTGGGTCAAGGCCAGGCCAGAGCCAGGAGCGCTGTCCCAGTCTCCCATGGGGTGCCAGGTGTCCAAGCACTTAGGCTGTCATCCACTGTTTGCCCCAGCCTGTAAGCAGGGAGCTGGATGGGAAGCAGAGCAGCCAGGACTCAGAGCAGCACTGCACAATGGCAGTGGCTAAACTTCACCAACCAGCCCAGGCAGACAATCTTGGAGGCGTTCTTGGAAGTACTGATTGAGTGGACTATTTCAGATTGGTATGCAGAGCAACTTTTAAGGAAACTTTTCTTATTTTTAGTCTCTTATTTTTACTATTTTAGTCTCATTACATGATTGCCAACATTTTACAATCATTTATTGATTTTTAGATTTATAAAATAAGACTTTTAAATAGTTTACGAAAGAAATGGATCTGATGTAGCTCAGTTTGCTACAATTGGGTGAAATGAGTTTTCTGGTCTGAACACGTAGTAGTTCAATCAAGAAGTTTGAGTAATTACAGCTGAAGGTCCTCACCATGGCATTCTGATAGATCTTCACTATTTACTAAAGTGCTTCCCAACATCTGACTCCCGTGTTCTTTTTAAACTCTGTCTTTAGCTGTTCACGTTTGTGGAGTTATTCTATGGCGTGCTGACCAACAGCCTGGGCCTGATCTCCGACGGCTTCCACATGCTGTTCGACTGCTCTGCCCTGGTGATGGGTCTTTTTGCCGCCTTGATGAGCAGGTGGAAGGCGACTCGGATCTTCTCATACGGGTAAGTGCGCCAGCAGGGCGAGGCCATCTGAGCGCAGTCCATCGTAGGAAACAAGCCCTCATTGCTTCAGTGCGACTTGTTTTCAGATCTTCAGTTTCCCCTGTTTGAAGTAGATGAAAGGAAAAATACCAAATTGCAGCCAGCTCCTTGACAGAATTTAAATAAAGGTTGGTGTTTTGTTTTGCCACATTACAGGTCTACATGTGTAGGGGTTCAGCCCCCCTCCTCTCTTCCTCACGGTGTCCCCTTCCTGTTTTCTGTCCCCAAGTTGTTGCAGTGTGGGGTCCTTCACTGCACCGTTACAGGCTTGACTTCATGAGATACGGCAGGAAAAGGGAGAAATAAAAGTCATGGCATGTAAAAACATAATCCAAAGCAAAAGGGGGCAATCCTTAGAAACAGTGGAATATGCAAGATCACTCCCATCTTCGCTGTTCAAAAGGATATTCAAAATATGAAGCTTATATATGTGAAAATCTCCTTGAAGCAAATGATTTCATTGAATAAATAATTGAATCCCTTTTTGGACGAGGTATTTTGTACAACCTGCTGTGAAGTAATACATTCAGCTCTTATTTTCCAACTGTTCAAATTGGAAAGTAGATGAGCTGGCAAAAAAGAAGAACAATTGCATCTGGCTTGTTTCCTCATTTACAAAGCCATAATGTTTACATTTTTTTAAACCGTTTGTCATTTTCCTTTTCTTTGTCTTTAGGTATGGCCGAATCGAAATTCTTTCTGGATTTATCAATGCACTTTTTCTAATAGTAATAGCATTTTTCGTGTTTATGGAGTCAGTGGCTAGATTGATTGATCCTCCGGAGTTAGACACACACATGTTAACAGTAAGTCTTCCTACTTAACTGTTTGTAGTTGTTGATAGATGGAGGCTTTTTAAGATTTAAATCAACGTAGCTTCTTTTTCTGCTACAGTCATCCCCCCCACCCATGATTTCACAATTCAGATCCAGGTACCCAGTCAACTGTAGTCTTATTGATAGGAGGTGAAAATTCCAGAAATTAACACTTGAAACTTTGAAATAATCTGTATTACATTATACTATGGTTCTGTTTTATTATGAACTATTAATGCTAAGTTCATGCTGCATTTATACATTAAACTTTATCATTGGTATGAATAGGAAAAAGCAGTACAGGGGATCAGTGCTATGTGCATTTTCAGCCATCCACTGGAAGAACTAAGATATACAACCCCTGGCTACGGAGGGACCCCCTGGCTATGAAGGAACCCCTGGCTAAGGAGGGACCCCCCTGGCCACGGAGGGACCCCCTGACTATGAAGGGACCCCTGGCTAAAGAGGAACCTCTTGCTAACAGTGCTGACTCACTGATCAGAAGACTGGATGACATTGTACAGCACACTGGTTCCTTTTTGACTTAATAAATGTTTTTATATAAAGATTTGTTTTTAAATATTTACAGAAATTTGCAGTGTTAGAGAAGCTGAGACAGAGAGATCTTACATTTGCTGGCTCATTCTCCAAATGGGCTCATTGACCAGAGCTACACCAGGCCAAACCCAGGCGCTTCATCCAGCTCTCCCTCATGGGTACAGGGCCCCAAGGACTCATGGGTACAGGGCCCCAAGGACTCATGGGTACAGGGCCCCAAGGACTTGGGCCATCTCCTGCTATTTTCCTAGATACAATAGCATAGAGCTGGATCAGAAGTGGAGCAGCTAGGACCTGAACCTATATTGGGGTTTTAGCCTATATGGGATGGTAGCATTGTGGGCAGTAGCTTAACTTACTACACCACAATGCTAGTCCCCAAGACATGGATTGTCTATGTGTATACTAATACTTATACAGTTTTAAAAATCAGTATTATATTTTGTAACCTTTTTGAGATTTATTTATTTTTATCGAAAAGGGAAATTTACAAGGAGGAGACAGAAAGATCTTCCATCTGTTGGTTCACTCCCCAAGTGGCCACAGTGGCCAGAGCTGAGTCAACCTGAAGCCAGGAGTCAGGAGCCAGGAGCTTCTTCTGGGTCACCCACATGGGTGCAGGGTCCCAAGGACCTGAGCCGTGCTCCACTGCTTTCCCAGACCACAAGCAGGGAGCTGGATGGGAAGTGAGGCTGCCAGGATTAGAGCCGGTGCCCCTATAAGGCGCTGGTGCTTGAAGGTGGATTAGCCTGTTGAGCCATAGCACCAGCTCCCTATTCTGTAATTCTTCTCTAACTCTGACTTTAAAATAAAACAAATGAACCTTTGAAAGAAAAGATACACTGCTGCTAGGGATAGCTGATTCCTGGCAGTGGGATGGGTCAGGGCTTTTGCTCTGCGCATGGCTTTCCTGATGGACCATTTCTGCACAGAGCAGGAGTGCTTAGGGATGGTGGGGTTTCGGCGGGCGGTGTTGGTCAAACTCCTCCACCATCTCCAGGCTGACAAAGCTAGCTGAGGTGTTGAAATCTGGCACAGAGTCTAAAGCACCCGAAGAGGCAGAGAGGAACCACACACGTTCGCTAAAGAAAATCTCTGTGTAACAGAGAATAATCAAAAGTATTTTTTTAATCCTTTGAATGTTATTTGGGCACACTTACTGAAGATAATTTCATTAGCTTTGTTTTTGAAAAGTGAGAGATTACTATGTTTTTCTCATTTTTTTTTTCCTTTTGGAAGATTTTACTATGTTTAGAGTGCAATAAAGATTGTATTTACTTGTAATCCAGTAGTTGATGAGTTATCATTGTTATATGTGGAAATTTACCTTGTAATACAAACAGTATTTCAGATGTAGATCTGGCCTCACAAGGAATGTTTTCAATCTCAATTTAAATTTAAAAGCCATTACTCTACACTGTTTATGAATTTACTGAACTTAGGTTTTACTGTGAATATTTTCAAAACCACAAAACACTTAAATTTTTTTTTAAAACTATATAATTTAAAAAAATTTTTTTAATAATAAACTTACAGGTTTTCCCTTCTCTTTGTTAGCCAGTATCAGTCGGAGGGCTGATAGTAAACCTCATTGGTGTCTGTGCCTTCAGCCACGCCCACAGTCACGCCCACAGCCACGCCCACGGAGCTTCGCCAGGAAGCTGTCACTCCGATCACAGCCACTCACACCATGCCCACGGACACAGCGACCACGGGCATGGGCACGGGCACAGCCACGGGTCCCCGGGCGGGGGCATGAATGCCAACATGAGGGGTGAGTCCTCCTTCCAGCTGTGTGCCGCGCGGATGCTCTGTGTGTATTTGTGTTGAACACTGGGCTTCTGGCAGTTTTACTTTTAGAAAGTATTCCGTTGCTAAAAAGGGACCCCGAGATCACCTGATACAGGAAATGCATTTGCTTATGCGTAAACTGTAGTGTTCATCTCATAAAAAGAAAGATTTTTGTAATATGCAGCAGCATGAATGAACCTGGAGAGTATTATCCCAAATGAAATAAGCCAGTTATTTAAAAAGAAAAAGGGGTGGGGGAATGAAGATTAACCAGCAAGCTTGAAGCTTCATAAACAGTAGGGTGTTGGTGACGTGCTTACAACCCTGTGCTTAGAACATAACATATTACACACTTAGAATTTTGAGTAGATGGGGCTATGTTAATATCATAATAAAAATGTTTAATGAAAATATATTTGTCGCTAATTGTCAGTTATAAACTATTAACAATTAAGTAATCCTTTTCATAGTCGTGAGTGAGTGAATATTAGTTTTAAGATGAACACTGAGTATGCCATTTTCGACTTGGCTATGAAGCAGCACATTATTTTATTGTAGTAAAAACGAGAGAATTAAGATTACTTATGTGGAATATTCTGATTGTTTAATATATATTAGGATCATGTCAGCACTTTTCTCCAGCATGGTTGATGGGACACCTCCTCACGGAAGTCCTCCCGCTGGGCCTTAGTGGCCGGCTCCTGAGCTTCTCGCTGGACTTGGAATGCGCTAAGCACACTGACGTGTTTTAGTCATTTTAAAGTGCGTGGTGTAAATCAAAGGGCCATGGTAATGTTTGCAGTAGATAAGAGAGCCAAGTCGGACATGCTGTGACGTGGGACATGCCGTGACGTGGGACATGCCGTGACGTGTAATGCTCTCCCGTATCTTGTCTGTAGGTGTGTTCCTCCATGTTCTGGCAGACACGCTTGGCAGTATCGGTGTGATCGTGTCCACAATCCTGATAGAGCAGTTTGGATGGTTCATTGCTGATCCCCTCTGTTCGCTTTTTATTGCCGTATTAATATTCCTCAGTGTTATCCCACTGATTAAAGATGCCTGTCAGGTTCTACTTCTGAGACTACCACCAGAATATGAAAAAGAACTGCATATTGCTTTAGAAAAGGTATGCTATTACCATTTCTTCCTTTTTTGTTTTTTAACCTTTTAAAGTAACATTTAACATCAAATAAATTAACCTAACAAGACGTGAATGTAGGAAATGCATTTACTTAAACCATGAGAAATAGCTGAAGTCACAGACATTTTTTGTTGTTGCTTAAGATTAATTTCTTTTGGGGCCCGGCGCGGTGGCGCAGTGGTTAAAGATCCTCACCTTGCACACCTGGGATCCCATATGGGCGCCGGTTCTATCCCGGCAGCCCCACTTCCCTTCCAGCTCCCCGCCTGTGGCCCGGGAAAGCAGTCGAGGACGGCCCAAAGCCTTGGGACCCTGCATCCGCATGGGAGACCCAGAAGAGGCTCCTGGCTTCGGATCGGCATAGCATCGGCCGTTGCGCTCACTTGGGGAGTCAATCAGTGGACGGAAGATCTTCCTCTCTGTCTCTCCTCTCTGTACATCTGCCTTTCCAATAAAAATTTTAAAAATAAATCTTTTAAAAATAATTAATTTATTTTTATTGGAAAGGCGGATTTACAGAGAGGAGAGACAGAGAGGAAGAACTTTCCATCCGCTGGTTGACTCCCCAAGTGGCCGCAGTGCCCAGAGCTGAGTCAACCTGAAGCCAGGAACCAAAAGCTTCTTCCAGGTCTCCCACCTGAGTACAGGGTCCCAAGACTTTGAGGCATCCTCTACTGTTTTGCAGGCCATAAGCACAGAGCTGGAAGGGAAGGGAAGCAGCCAGGACATGAACCATTGCCCAAATGGAATCCCATAGCATGCAAGACAAGGACTTTAGCCAGTAGGCCATAGCACTGGTCCCTGGAGAGGCAGATTTACAGAGAGACAGATCTTTCATCCACTGGTTCATTTCCCAAAATGGCCACAATGGCCAGAGTTGAGCTGATCCAAAGCCAGGAGTCTCTTCAGGTCTCCAGCACGGGCACAGGGTCCCAAGGCCTTGGGCCATCCTCTTCTGATTTCCCAGGCCACGGGCAGGAAGTGAGATTGTAGGTGGAGCAGCCGGGACATGAACTGATGCCTGTTTGAGATCCCATCCTTGCATGCGAAGTGTCCATATTGTGCTAGGTAAATTAGCCTTTGAAAAAGCCATGTACTAGGTGTCTCTCCCTCTCTCCTTTCGAGGGGCACCCCATCTCCCAGCTCTCTTGGGAGGTGCTTTCCGCTTCCTCTTCTTTCCCCGCTCACCTCATCATTCACAAATAAACCTCCTGTCTGTAAAAAGTAGAAAAGGAAAGGAAAAGCCATTCATTTATATCACCTGGTCTCTTGCTTGACAGATACAAAAAATTGAAGGATTGATATCATACCGAGATCCTCATTTCTGGCGCCATTCTGCCAGTATTGTGGCAGGAACAATTCATATCCAGGTGACGTCCGATGTGCTGGAACAAAGAATAGTACAGCAGGTAATACAGATTTTGTTTTTGTAATTTCAGCTGAGGGCATTCATACCATAAAATTATTTCACATGTCATAAGTTACACAGCTCAAGCAGTCACTGACTGATCAAAAGTACCATTCTTTCACCAGGTAATATAACATTTTTTTGTATCTAGATTTGTTTTATATACAAAAAAAATCAAACTTTAGAGGTTAATGTAGAAAAGTATAGTTGTAATGGATTTCGATTACTGGTAGATTATTAAGAAATAAACTATTGTAGATTTAGCCGTAGATTAATAATAATAACAGCCAAGTTTGCAGGATGTGTGCTGTGTTTGGAATTAGGTATCAAAACCTTACCATCAAACATTTAATTCTACATGCATCAAATTAAATTCCAGCTCTATAATTTACTGACCATCTACATTTTTACTAAATAGAAAACATTACAATGACGATGTATCTAGGATAACCCGTGACTGTAAAAACTGTGATAGGAATTATGTAAGACGTACTCACTGTGTTGCTCTAAGTGCTTCAAGCTGTCTGTATTTTTAATAACAGGTCACAGGAATACTAAAAGATGCAGGGGTTAACAATTTAACAATTCAAGTAGAAAAAGAGGCATACTTTCAACATATGTCTGGCCTGAGTACTGGATTTCATGAGGTTCTGGCTATGACCAAGCAAATGGAGTCCATGAAATACTGCAGAGATGGTACTTACATCATGTGAGAGAATTCAAGAAGGACGCCTAGGGTGTGTGCAAACCACCAAGATCCAGTGGCTCAGGGCTGGTGGTACCGCAAGGACAGAGACTTTAAAGCTCCCTCGTATTGGATGAAGGACTCTCTCCTACAGGAAATTTAACTATTGATTGAAGCATTGATTGCACAAGGAACGTGGTGATTTGAATTACGTGTTTGAAGCGAATCTAGAGATTGAGTGAACATGATGTGTCATATCATCTTCAGAAATGGACACAATGATGGATCTGGTGAAGACCAAAATGACTTCTGCGTTTCCTTTCTATCAGAAAGCATCTCCATTGTACATATGTACTTATGTGTTCATTATGCAAATCCAAATGAAAAATTTTTAGTCGATTTTTGCATAGCCTCAAGATAAAATAGGAATAAAAGTTCTATATTTATGGATATTCTGTATATAAAATTGGTTTCTAATTATAAGCTAAGACCATTAAGTAGAATCTGTATTGTCACTTCAAAAGTAAACTGTTATTGGGGGAAGCTTCGGCCACTGATAGGACATCAACAGTGAGGGCAGGAAGTACATGACACTGCAGTTTTTGATGTTATTAAAACCAACCACTCTGTAAAATAAATTTTTTACTTTTGTTAATTTTTGCCAGCGAATAATTTATTAGCATGCAGAACTTTGACCAAGTGTGTCCAGTCTCTCGCTTGACATCTTCCGCCCTAGGAGAAGGCTCTGTCTCCTGATACACATTAGCCGTTGCAAGCTGCTTGTCACGCTGGGGTACAGCACTCGGCTTCTCATTCGCTCCTGTGTTCTAGAACAGCCATCCAGAATCACTGGTGTCAACTCAGAGTTGAGCCTTTGCCTGTGATTGTGGCTTTGAGCTAACTTCTGGAACACTGGGATAGATGCATAGGAAACATCAGCAAATCGGTACTTATCTCAAGGTTGTTCGGTACAACTTGTCCGTAAGGATCTGAGTATCATGAAGCAGAACTACTTTCTACAGGGGTAATCATGCTTTTTCATTTATGACTTTGAGTGTATGTGTGTAGTATGGTAGACATAGCATATACACAGTTTTATCAACACCAAAGAATGTTGTCCAAGGGCCCAGTGCCATGGCCTAGCGGCTAAAGTCCTCACTTTGAACATGCCAAGATCCCATATGGGCACCAGTTCTAATCCCCACAGCCCCACTTCCCATCCAGCTCCCTGCCTGTGGCCTGGGAAAGCAGTCGAGGACGGCCCAGAGCCTTGGGACCCTGCACCGGCGTGGGAGACCCGGAAGAGCTCCTGGCTTCTGGCTTTGGATTAGCATAGCACCGGCCTTTGTACTCACTTGGGGAGTGAATCATCGGATGGAAGATCTTCCTCTCTGTCTCTCCTCTCTATGTATATCTGACTTTGCAATAAAAGTAAATAAATCTTAAAAAAAAAAAAAAAAAGAATGCTGTCCAAAATAAACTTCATAGTAACTGTGTTTACAAGCATCTAAACATTTTCATTCTTTCTTTTGATAGGTAGCATAAATTTATTATGAGGGCTACTTTCTTATTTAGCCATAATAGCAAATATGTATTATAAATCATATTTTTATCTTTCTGATTTTAATATGTGAGGGATTTCAGATATTTATTATAAATAATTTGATATTCCTTGTCTTTGCACATTTTTTTTGGTACAGAATCTTAGCACATATTAAATGTGAGTGGTAGAAAAACTGTTGCAAATTAATGTGGGTTTTTTGTTTTTGCAAATTGATGTTTTAATACAGTTTTTTATACATCAAAATGCTTTAAGCAGATAATGAGGTACAATACAATATTGCACTAATGTTAAAAAATTGTCATTTCCCATGGAAGGAATAGAAATAGCAAAAAGCTAATAAGAGTAAATAAATTTGAGGACTTGCCATTTTAAGCCTGACTTCAAAACCAGCTTTTCCTGTCTGTGTTTCTGTCTGCATCGGCATCCTCAGTGACTGTGTTAAGTGTACAAAGTAAGTTCAGGTGGATCCAGAGGAGAAGCCTGTGAATTCATTCATTTGCCCAGAGAAAGCGGGTCATCGTTCACCGTTCCCTTAGATCGCGGTTCATGTCCCCTCGAATGGGCTACTGCTCCAACAGTGGAAACAGTTGCTTCAATGTGATAACCAATCAAACCAGCACAACCGTGAAGCTGCACACTTAGACATCTTGCCCAAAGATCGTGGTGTCACTTCAAGCGATCCTCCGCTCAGGGAAATGTGTTCTTCCTAGCTGACACTTCTGTGGGCCAAACCTCCAGAATACTCAGCTCCTGCCGTGTCCTTCCCAGCACAGAAGACACACACAGGCAGAAATGTGCGTGTACTTGTCATCTTAAATGACTGCATAATCGAAGCATTAAAAAAACATTCTCACCCGGAAGAAGCTCCTGGCTCCTAGCTTCGGATTGGCGCAGCACTGGCCGTTGCGGCCGCTTGGGGACGGAGGTTCTTCCTCTCTGTTTCTCCTCCTGTTTCTATATCTGCCTTTCCACAAAAGGTGAGTGAATCTTAAAAAAAAAAAAAAGAATATTCTCTCTGTAGCTGCTTAATCTCTTTAGCATTCCCAGTCTCACTTTAGAACCATAATATGATTCTAATATTCGGGTGTTGTGTAGAATGCTGCCATCAACAGCCTTGCACATTTTAGGGGTCAGCGTCGTGTTAACAGTCAATTAAAACTGCCATTTGTGACACTGATGACCCATGTCAGAGCTCTGGTTGAATTCCAGCTGCTCCTCTTCCCATCCAGCTCCCTGCCGATGTGCTGGCGAAGGCAGCGGGATGGCCCAAACGCCTGGGCCCCGCACCCCTGTGGAAGAACCCGCTGGAGTTCCTGCTGTGTGTCACACCCATCTGGGGAGTGAACCAGCAGAAACAAGGCCTGTCACTCTGCCTTTCAAAGAAGTCCTTTCTTAAAATCACAAGTGGAGTTTCAGATTCAAAGGATTTAGAACATTTATAAATTTAATATTGCTGAATTGTACTCTACAGATGTTTTAACATTGTATCACTGCAATGCGAATAGGCGGAAATTTCCTACTGCCTCACTTGGTATGCAGCTAAATGTGCAGCAAGATGATATTAAAATTCATCTCAATATTAGAATGACTTCAGAATGAAAAGCGTCCTGGTAATAAACGGATGCAATTCAATTAGAATGGTGGAATTTTTAATTCAGACTATCTTGTTCCTTGTATCTATAGCATGGTTTCTTTCACAGATGCTCAAATTTTTCTATTTAGTGCAACTGAAAATACTGTTCTGTAACATTTTTCTCTTCCAATACTCTCACTGAGGCATAGATAACAAAATACACAGCTCTTAAATGTTCAGCTCAGTGAATTGATAAGGAGTTGCAGCACCTGGAATTCACACACTAAGGTTAACCATGCATCCACTTGGGACCTGGCAGTTCCACTCTGGAGTGTTTACCCAAGATAAATGGAAATATGTCCATAAAAAGGCTTATATGACAAGTACTGTTCTCGGCACAGTAGCCTTGTAGATAAATCCTCACGTTTCATGCATGCACTGGGATCCCATAAGAGCACCTGTTTATATCCTGGCTGGTCCACTTCCTGTTCAGCTTCCTGCTGTGGCCAATAAACAGAAGATCTGTCTCTCTATAAATCTGACTTTCCAATAAAAATAAATCTTTTTTAAAAAGTACTACTCGGGCCCAGCGGCATGGCCTAGTGGCTAAAGTCCTCACTTTGAACGCACCAGGATCCCATATGGGTGCCGTTTCTAATCCCGGCAGCTCCATTTCCCATCCAGCTCCCTGCTTGTGGCCTGGGAAAGCAATTGAGGACAGCCCAAAGCCTTGGGACCCTGCACCCATGTGGGGGACCCAGAAGAAGTTCCTGGCTCCTGGCTTCGGATCGGCATAGCATCATCCGTTGCGCTCACTTGGGAAGTGAATCATCGGACGAAGATCTTCCTCTCTGTCTTTCCTCCTCTCTGTATATCTGACTTTCCAATAAATAAATAAATCTTAAAAAAAAAAAAAGTACTATTCATAGTCTAAACCTAAGCAGGGTCCTACGTTGTGGCATAATGGGTTAAGCTGCCACATACAATGCTAGCTTCATGTGGGTGCTAGTTAAAGTCCCAGCTGCTCCATTTCCAATCTTGCTCCCTTCTAACGTGCCAGGGAAAGCAGCTGAGCATGGCACAAGTGCTTGAGAGACCTGGGTGGAGTCCCTGGCTCCTGGTTTCAGCTTGGCTCACCCCTGGCTGTTAGGGCCACTTGAGGAGTGAACCAGCTGATGGAAGATCTCACTCAATTTCTGCCTTTCTTTCTGTAACCCAGACTTTCAAATAAAGTTAAACTAGAAATGGTCTAAAATGTCCATCAATAAAGCAACGGATAAACTCATCTATTCATAGTGGATTATTAATGCTCAGCAGTAGGAAAGTAAGATTAAAGGAAATATAGATGAATTTTTAAAATTATAAAGAAGTCAGACACAAAAGAGTTGGTACTGGATGACTGCCTTTCCAGGAAGTTCAACAACACGCGTCCTAACCAGTCTGTAAACAGCAGAGCACAGGATCATTTGTGCAGGTTTCCTGGTGCTGCAATTACACAAACGTAGGGACTTAACGCCGAATGTATCATCTCCAAGTGCTGGGACTTGGAGCAGATCCAGTGTGGGTCTGACACGCCCAAGTCCAGGTGCAGTAGGACTGCCCACTTCCCGAGCTTAGGGGAGAAGTCATTTGCTGCATCAGTCAGGTGGTTGGCTGAACTCAGACCTCTGGACCAAGGATGCAGGCCCGTTTGCTTTGCCAGTGCTCAGCACGCACATTCATTCCCCTCTCCATGCCCCATGCCCAGGCTTCTACTGCCATCTCTGAGCTGCTCTACTGCAATCCTCTCCTAAGCACAGGACTCGGGTATCCCCGCAGGGCCCACCCACTCCAGCCGGGATGTTTTCCGCTTCTCAGGGGGCCACATAAAGGTAACATTCACAGGTTCCAGGCTCAGATCCAGGTTCATGAGCCCCAGGGGTGGAGATTCAGCAGTGTTTGGGACACCTGGCCCAGCTACTTGAACTCGCCTGCAAGCACATGCCCTACTTAATGAAAAAGGTGGAGCAGTGGACACAGGCCCACTTGTAAAAGGAGAATATGGCAGCGCATTTGGTACAGAACAGAACTAGCTGGACAACAACCCCAAACAAGCAATGATAGCAAAAAATTTCGGTGAATGAAGCCAATGGACATTGGGGGCGGTGGTGACATCATCCTTAGAGCAGTGAAATTGGCAGCATTTCAGAAGTATCCATGCCACTTGGACAGAACCCTCAGAATATGTACACATGGAGACTCTGGGTTGATAGGAGGTGGCAGTTCCTCATCCCTGGGTACTGGGGCATGTGGAAAGGCATGGGTGGTTTTCCCCTTTGTCTCTCCTATTAGCCCAGGAACAAGAAGAAATAGCAAATTTGGAATCAATGAAATCCCTCAATTTTCCCCAAACCACGATCCTTCCCATGCTAATCAACCATGTAATCATTGTTTTAAAATAATTATTTATTTTTTTAAAAATAAAGTGCTTTGAAGAAGCAAAACTAAATTTAAAAACATCAAAATCCAAGATAAATAAGTAAGCAATATGGCAAAATAAATAAGTAAGTAAGTAAGTCTTTAAAAAATATATTTAGGGCCCGGCGAGATTGCCTAGTGGCTAAAGTCCTTGCCTTGAATGCGCCAGGATCCCATATAGGTGCCGGTTCTAATCCCGACAGCTCCACTTCCCATCCAGCTCCCTGCTTGTGATCTGTGGGGAAGCAGTGGAGAACAGCCCAAACCTTGAGACTCTGCCCTCAGGAGACTTGGAGGGAGCTCTGGCTCCTGGCTTCGGATCAGTGCAGCTCTGATCATTGCAGCCATTTGGAGCGTGACCCTAAGAGTTGGAAACCTTTCTCTGCCTTTCCTACTTTCCATGGATCTGATCTTCCTTCCCAATAAAAATGGTTACAAAGAAACAGGGAGAGATAGAGAAAGAGAGACATTGCACCTGTTAGCTCATTCCCCAAGTGGTCTCAAAAGCCAAGGCTGAGGCAGGCTGAAGCCGGCAGCCAGGGCCTCACACAGGTCTCCCACTTGCCTGGCGGAGCCCACACACTTGGGCTAGGTGCTGTTACTTGCCCCCAGCCATTAGCAGGGAGCTGGATAAGAAGTATACAGCTAGGGCCTAAAGTCCTCGCCTTGAACGCCCCAGGATCCCATATGAGTGCTGGTTCTAATCCTGGCAGCTCCACTTCCCATCCATCTCCCTGCTTGTGGCCTGGGAAAGCAGTCGAGGACGGCCCAAAGCCTTGGGACCCTGCACCCGTGTGGGATACCTGGAAAGAAGTTCCTGGATCCTGGCTTCGGATTGGCATAGCATCAGCCGTTGCACTTACTTGGGAAGTGAATCATCGGACGGACAGAAGATCTTCCTCTCTTTCTCTCCTCTTCTCTGTATATCTAACTTTCCAATAAATAAATAAATCTTAAAAAAAAAAATAAAAGAGGTGGTCCTGGGCCCAACAGTGCAGTAGCCTAGTGGCTAAAGTCCTTGCCTTACACGCCTGGGATCCCACTTGGGCCCGGTTCTGATCCAGCTCCTTGCTTGTCGCCTGGGACAGCAGTCAAGAACAACCCAAAGCCTTGGGATCCTGCACCTGCATGGGAGACCTAGAGGAGGCTCCTGGCTTCGGAGCAGCTCAGCTCCACTTGAGGAGTGAATCAGCAGTCGGAAGGTCTTCCTCCCCATCTCTCCTCCTCTCTGTATATTTGACTTTCCAATAAAAATGAAATAAATCTTAAAAAAAAAAAAAAAAAAAAAAACGTGGTCCTGGGACTCCTCAACTCCGAGAATCGCTGAAGGCAGACACGTGAGCTGACAATTTGGCCGTTTGCGGGGGAATGTTCGCTGGGTAGGGCCAAGCCCCTCTGGCAGGCACTCTGGGGGAGAAGAAAATGACAATGATTTCCCAAATAAAAACTGTTGGCTTCGGGAAACTGATCAAGCTTGAAATATCGAAGTAATCAGAGGCAATATGGCAAGAAGCTGGTGTCCTTAAGAAAAACGATTTCTTGGAAAGGCAGAGCTACACTGAGCGGGAGACACAGGAGTTCAAGCCCAGTCTCCCGCAGGTGTTTGGACCCAGCCTGGGATCCATCCTCTGGGAAACTGGATGGGAATCAGGGCAGAACCCCAACACTGGCTCAGCAGATATGGGGGTGCAAGCTTCCTCAAGGCTGTACCACAACACACCCGTTCCGGAAGTAGGCACGCATAACAGGCAATCAGGGTTGTGCAAAAAAAAAAAAAAAAATCACGGATCCAAAGACACAGGGATTTAAAAAAAGCGCTTAGGTTCAGTCCCAGGGCAGGCCTTGGGGAGCCTTCCACAACAGGGACCTGTGGGAATGGCAGCCTTTCCTCAGGCCTAAGGTGCTGTGGCTGCTACTGTGGGAGTGGATCGCGTGAAACACTACGTAGGACCAGAGGCAAGGCTGCTTCCCTCGCTTCTAAGGCTGCGGCCACCCGCTCCAGCCGCTCTGCCAGAGCCTTAGGGTCTCTGAGGCGGGTAGGGCGGCGACTGGCACCTCACGGGCAGAATCTCTTCGTCCCGAGCGCCCGCGGCCGCAGCCCGAGCACGCAGGCGCGGAGCCCGGTCACGTGACAGCCGAGAGCCGCCACGCAGCCACGCTCTGGGCCCGCCCCTTCTCGAACGTCTCCGCGAGGTCGCCTTGGAAACGCATTCTCCGGGAACCGACGTCCGCCAATGGGGAGGGAGCGAGTGCCACGAACAGGCCAATGAGGAGGGAGCGCTGCGGGGTTTAAACCGGAGCAGGGCCCGGCTCCTCCCGGCGTGCTGCGCAGGAACGGCTGGCTGTTGGGCTGCGGAGGATCCAGGTGCCCGACTGGTCGGGGCCTCCGGTGTGCTGCTCGTCCCCGCTGCCCGCCTCCCGCTCAGGAGGAAGCCATGGCGCTCCGCGTCACCAGGGTGAGTCCAGGTGAACCTGCGCCTGCCATCACCTGCGAGGTTCCCGGGAGCCGGGGAGCCGGCCGGCGGGCCGGAGGGTTCCCGGGGGGCCAGCGCTGCGATGGTGGGCAGCGGGAGCTTGAGGGGTCGGCCAGAGGGAGGAAGGGAGTTGGCGAGATCCCGGGGTTGTTGAAGCCGCGGAAAAGCTTTTACAGAATTGATGGAAGGGGGTCCAGGCGAGAGCTGGAAATGTCGCCCACCCCCTCCAGCAAAAGCTTTTTCTTTTTTTCCTTTCACATGCAAATTCGGTGTTTGTGAGCTGGCGGGGACTTCACTGGGAATGCAGTGGGTAAACTGGAGCTTCTAGGAGCTGGCGGCCTCGTTAGGGCCGTGAGGCAGAACCCTGAGCCCGTTTCCCAGAGGCCTGCCCTCCGGAGAACCGCTCCTGGGACCCATTTGGGGGGTAGACCCGATCTTCCCTGGCTGGCTGGGCAGGATCTCAAGAGTGGTTTTGCTTCTTTCAGAACACGAAAATTAGTGCTGAAAATAAAGGGAAGATCACCATGGCAGGCGCCAAGCGCGTGCCTGTGGCCACGGTGGCCGCCTCCAAGCCGGGCCTGAGGCCCAGAACGGCCCTTGGAGACATTGGGAACAAAGTCAGTGAGCAGCTGCAGGCCAAAGGGCCTCTTAAGAAGGTAACTGCCCCCTCCCCTTCGCCCGCCCGCCTTCTCCGAGGAAGGACACTGGAAGCTGGTGACCCTGGGTGCACAACCTTCTCACTGTTACATCCGTAGGAAGCCAAAACTTTGCCTACTGGAAAAGTCCCTGCTAAGAAACCAATAAAACCTTCGGAAAGGGTGGTTGTGCCTGCATCTGTGCCCGAGCCAGAGCCCGAACCACAGCCACAGCCCGAGCCCGAGCCCGAGCCCGAGCCCAAGCTGGAGCCTGTGAATGGGGAGAAGCAATCGCCTGAACCTATTCTGGTAAGTGTATTCTCCTTCTAGAAGCCGTTGATTGCATTGGCTAGCAGTTGACATGTGGGTGCGCCGCCAAGGAATTCTGCTGTACAGAGTCCCACATCTTTACGCTTCAGGGATTACAGGAACCTCGAAGCCAGGGTCACAGAGTGGGAAATACACAGGGAGTTCAAGTCCAGGATCTTGTTTCCCCCTCTTGGTTCACAGCGTTAAGTCGTAGATGGCTAACCCAATGGCCTTGATGTCCCAGGACGAGCATCTCTGGCCGGGCTTTATTACTGAAATACAGCATTCCTTTGGTTCCTTTTTCATTCTCTGGGGTAGCCACGAAATGACCAGAGTCTGTCAGTTTGCAGTGAGAGGAAGATGTTCCCTTGCAGAGAAGTGGCTGGAGGTGACAGCCTCGAAAACCAAGGGCTTGGAATTAGCGGAGAAGTCGATCTGTCTGGTCTGGGTGAGGGAGGACAGGTCAGGTAGAGGAAGTTGCTGAAGTCCAGGTGGAGTGCGTTCTGAAGCTCTGACCTTCAAAGCTCGCTTAGAAACAGTTGGGAACACAGCTAGCTTCTTAGATCAAGGGTGACACAGCCCGGGCTGTTCCAGGCCGGCGCAGGAAACCTGCGGCGGCGCTGGCACTGCCTGAGGCTTTCCTGAGACTCCATGTTGATGGCCTCGCTTGGCCTTACCACTTGTCGGCACCCTCCCACCAGCTCAGCCATGCCATCACTGAATGAAAAGGTGATTGTCCTCGCTCCGCAGAGTGGTTTCTTGACCTGGTGCAAGCCGTGTGACCTTCATGCCCCGCCACGGTGTGTGCTGCGGGGGGGCTGTGGGCTCAGGACGGATCTGTGCTGCAGGTGGACACGCCCGCCGCCAGCCCGATGGAGACATCCGTGTGCGAGCCACCTGCGGAGGAGTACCTGTGTCAGGCCTTCTCCGACGTCATCCTCGCCGTGAGCGACGTGGACGCCGAGGACGGAGCTGATCCAAACCTTTGCAGTGAATACGTGAAAGACATCTATGCTTACCTAAGACAGCTTGAGGTCGGTATTCGCAGAAGGCTTGTTGGGTCTTTTTTTGCCAAAGGTATAGGGACTCTTTCCTATCACCAGTTTGCAATAATTGGATGAAGGTAGCATTTCTTTCTGTTCTTTTAGAGACAGACCTTCATCTGCTGATTCACTCCCCAAACACCTGGCACAGCAGGAGCCTGGGATTCAGGAAATGTGGCCTCCATGGCTGGCAGGGCCCCAAGTGCTTGAACCATCATCTGCTGCCTCATGGAGTAAACACTTGGATAGCCAGGACAAGAACCAAGCATCCCCTAAGAAATGGGGGGGGGGGGGGCGGGGGAGGGAGGAGGCCAGCAGCCACTTAACTCCTGTGCCAAATATCCATGCAGGGGTACAGGGTGAGGGCCAGGTCTAAGATGTTAGCAGTGTGGGAAATCCTGGCACTGTATTATCATGTCTGCTTGTGGGCTTGCCCAGTAACGACACCGTTTCTAGCTAGCTGTGTGGCCTGGCATCGTGGTGCCATGTGAGCCACCGGCAGTATCCCATAGCACACAGCGTCCGTTTCAGGTCCGCTTCCGGCTACTGCTGCCTGGAAGGTGGCAGAGAATGAATGGCCCGAGTTCTCAGCACTGCCTCCCAGGTGGTGGTCCTGGTCCCTGGCCCAAAGCTGACTGCCACTTGGGATGAACGACTTCACTCGCTCTGCGCCTGCTGCTCTTTCAAACCATGTATGTGTCTGTACACACATGGTGACCACTTGAGGAATGAACCAGCGGTGCAAAACCTGCTTTTTCTCTAACTCTTCCTTTCAAATCTTTTTTCAAAAAAATTATATATTATATATATGTATGTATAATACAATCTATACTTTTATTTTAAGAAGTGGAGGCTAGTGTTGCGTGTTAAGCTGCCTCCTTGCAACACCAGCATCCCATATGGGCAAGGGCTCCAGTCTTGGTTGCTCCATTTCTGATCCAGCTCACTCCTGATCCCCCTGGGAAAGAAGCAGAGGATGGCCCACGTGCTTGGCCTCCTGCACCCACTTGGAACACCTAGCTGAAGCTCCTGCCTTTGGTTGTTAAGACCTTGTAGCCATGGAGGAATGGATGGAAAATCTATCTTTGACTTTGCCTTTCAAATATTTAAAAAAAAAAAAAATTTTTTTTTTTTTCTTTTTAGGTTGTTAACGCCCCAGTGCAGTTTTATGTGGTAACTAGCTGGTCCTTCTGGAATGACAGAGTCATGCTTCTGAGGATAACTCGGCATTTTCTTTTGCAGGCAGAGCAGTCGGTCAAACCGAAATACCTGCTGGGTCGGGAAGTGACTGGCAACATGAGGGCCATCCTGATTGACTGGCTGGTGCAGGTGCAGATGAAGTTCCGGCTCCTGCAGGAGACCATGTACATGACCGTGGCCATCATCGATCGGTTCATGCAGGTGAGCGCACACTCCGGGGCCCCGGCCGGGTCCTGAAGCTACCAACTTGGCAGCTACCGTTTTCTCATGTCAGAATTCTCTGCCCATGCCCACTTTAGATGGCCCTTGGGCCCGCTTTTCAAGGGCAGGACTTACTCAGCCAGTTGAAATTGCCATTGCAGGACAACTGTGTGCCCAAGAAGATGCTGCAGCTGGTTGGCGTCACTGCCATGTTTATCGCAAGTAAATATGAAGAAATGTACCCTCCAGAAATCGGCGACTTCGCTTTCGTGACTAACAACACTTACACCAAGCACCAGATCAGACAGATGGAAATGAAGATCCTCCGAGCTCTGAACTTCGGCCTGGGTCGCCCTCTCCCCCTGCACTTCCTTCGGCGAGCATCCAAGATCGCAGAGGTACAGGGACCAGGAGGCCCACAGGCTGGAGCGCTGGGAATACCACAGCTGGACTCCCGTTAAGGAACCCGGCTACACGGGGCAGGGGAGGAGGAAGGACGGGCCTTCCCTGGGCAGTCGCGTGCTGTGGGGACATTGCTAGTGACGTGTATTGAGAATGTCCCTGGAAGCAGCTCAGTGCCGGGTGGGTTTTGTTGCAGGTGGATGTTGAGCTGCACACTTTAGCCAAATACCTGATGGAACTGACGATGCTGGACTATGACATGGTGCACTTTGCCCCTTCTCAGATCGCGGCAGGCGCTTTCTGCTTAGCACTGAAAATTCTTGATAATGGCGAATGGGTAAGCCCTATCTCTAATAATGAACATTGCATTGAAAATGCTGTTTGCATAGAAACTATGTTGCAAGAGAACAGGCCTCTCATAGTTCCTAAACTGAGAACTCCTTGGAGTAAAACCCTCCGGTGATGCCTTTTTCATAGAGTGCTTTTCATTTCTAAATTCTGAAAAAGAACGGCTGTTACTAGGACCTAACGAATCTTGCGGCAAATGTGCCAGGCAGTACCCTAACTCCCAAAGCGGAAGGAGAAAGTCAGCTTTGAGCTGCAGAAGGCAGTTACATAATGATGAGGTTTGGGAAGGCACCTGAGGAGTGTGTCTGGGGCTTAACAAAAGTTTCCACTGCAGTTGCTGCTAGTATGTAGAACCTTAGTGAAAGGCCTCCCGCTGAGCGGCCTGGACCTGTTTCTGTTGTTGTCTTAGACCCCAACTCTGCAGCACTACCTCTGCTACACTGAAGAGTCTCTTCTGCCCATCATGCAGCACCTGGCTAAGAACCTGGTCATGGTGAACCGCGGGCTTACCAAGCACATGGTGAGTCTGCCGCAGAGGCCCAGGCAAGGGACGGACATGCGCACCGCACTGATGCAGTGTGCCTTTTTCATGACTTTTTCGACTTTTCTCTTCCAGACCATCAAGAACAAGTATGCCACTTCCAAGCATGCCAAGATCAGCACTCTGAGCCAGCTGAATTCTGCACTGGTTCACGACTTGGCCAAGGCCGTGGCAAAGGTGTAATTTATAAACCCGAGTTTTGAAGTACTATATCCACAAATAAAATTGGCACCATGTGCCACCCTGTATATATTATATACTACGCTCACTTTTAATAAAGGCTGTGACCCTTTTTATAGCTTAACTTTTCTGAATGTGGTAACCTAAAAGGTGTGGTGGGAAATAATTAAAACTGCTTTTCATTTACCTGAGTATCAAATTAACGTGTAAATACTTGGCGTGTGTATGTTCATGTACTTCTTAAATGCAGCTTTTACTTTGCGAACACAAACTCGTGAGCCACTAAAGGTTTCTAAAATGTGGCAAGGCATCATTTGGGAGACTCTTCTTGTTCTGTTCCAAAGTAAAAGTCTGCCAGCTCCTGCCAGTCTCTCTGGAGTCTGGGCTTCAGCTGCTTTTGCTTTCCTGCTAAATGACTCGTGACCATTTGTAGCATTGAAATCCAAGTTACCTTAAACTTTTTCACATTGAAAAGTAAACAAAACCATCATTTACGTTTTAAATTCAGTCCTTTTTTTGTGTGTTTCTTTTTTGCGTATTTGTGTGTAATATCGCATTGTGTGTTGTACAGTCCCTTAAGTTTGTTTCCAGACTCCCACGGTTAATTCTGTATGGAAACCATTTGAAACCATGTGTTTGTTTATGCTAGCTTCCCCAAAGTGTGCATCTTAGGCTGCCACAGGTACAGCAAGGTGAAGTGTTCCATGTCACCATGTGCTGGTTCCTTGGCACCTTTGTTAGAAGCAGCGGGAGCCCGCTTCATCTCTGAATCAGACGGCCAAGAGGATCCTGTGTCACTTCATGTTCTGGTAGTAAATTGAATAAATTGTCTACTAATAATATGAAGGCTTCCCCAGTCTGTCATTTGCCCTTGGTCTAATGTTCTGTTGTTGTTGTTGTGTTTAAGATTTATTTATTCTATTGGGAAGTGAGATACACAGAGAGAAGGCGAGACAGAAGAACCTTCAGTCCACTGGTTCACTCCCCAAGTGGCCGCAATGGCCAAAGCTAAGCTGATCAGGAACCAGGAGCTTCTTCTGGGTCTCCCTGCACCCGTGGGCTGTTCTCAGCTGCTTCCCCGGTCCACAAGCAAGGAGCTGGATAGGAAGCAGGACCACCATGCTGGGCACCCTGTATAGATGTTGATCTGAAAGCAATATGGGTATTTGTTTTTAGGATTCTATTTTATGATACATTTCCGTAGGCCCTGGGATTTTTCTTGCCCCCTCGCCAAGTCCCTCTCCTCCACCGAGTTCCTCTATATCATTACTATAGTATAGTTCTTCATAAACAGTCATGTGTCATCATTGTGTACATGAACGATGGCAGAGTCCAGCATCTATTGCAACTGGGAGTCCATCTTTGATTTGGAAGTAGAGATGGCATACTGCATTGTATTCTCACATCTGGATATGATAGTTTCCATTACGCAATTGCCATACCTCCCCTTAGATGAAAAGCCACAAAATAAATCAACAACAGGAAAAAATACAAATTTACAACACCATGAAGTTCTCATGAGCTTCGTTAATTCAACAGTCCTGAATTGTTGATCCCGCCATTCCAATCACGAGATCTCTCCAAAATCCACTGGCTGCTCTAGTTCGGTAGTCTCCATCTGCCCAGACAGTCAATGCTGCGCCCGGTTGGAATAGTTCATTTGTTCTGTCCTCCGTCTTCTGCCATGGTACCAGGCTCCAATGCACTGCCATAACCTCCACGTGCTGTTAGATATGCCATCCGCTGCTCCGTCAGGCACCGAAGAGGCCCAGCTCTGACACACACTTCACCATGAAACCTGCAGTTCTCTCATGGTTGGGTTTCTGAGTGTAGCAATTCAGCTGATAGGAAATCGCCAAAGAAACCTCATCTAAGGCCATCCCAGGCCTGATTCTTGGGTGTGTTTGCCAATACATGGTCCAGCAGTCATCCAAATCAGCCTACACACACACTGTTGCAATTGTATCCAGCCCCGTCTTTTATGTAAACCAAATGGTGTTGGAGTGCTACAGCCCAGCCAAGCCTGGTCCACACCCACACACAGCTCACATTTGGCTCAGCAGGAGTAGAGACCTAGCCTAACCTGTACTATACCCTCCCTGGTTCCCATGAGCACCAGTTGGTGCTGGAGTCTAGCCCAGTCCGGCGCATCCCAGACCCTGCTCACACCTATGCTAAGGTACCCTGCAGCCATATCCAGACCAGACTGCAGCCCCCTCCCTGGCCCTCGCACTCACCAATGGGAATCACATCATTTGCTCCCCAACAGGCCTATTCCCATCTACAGATCTTGTGCATGCCAGTGGTTGCTCTGACCCAGCCTGGCACAGCCCCTCATCTGTCTTAGCCTTTGCCTTCAGATGCTGCAGCCTAGCCTGGCCTAGCCAGGTTCCAGTCACAACTCTAGCTGGTGGGTATAGCAACCTGACTCTGTTCAGTCTGCTCCCAGGCCTGGCTCATGTAAACCAGTAGGTGTGATACCTTGCCCTGGCATAACCTGTACTCCAGCCTGGTTTCTGCTCTTGCCAGTGGGGTAAAGCTTGCTTGGCCCCACCTGGTTCACCCCATTCCAAAACCAACCCACACACTTGCCAAAGGACGGAGCTACTTTGCCCAGCTTGCCCGACCCCTAGTTCTGCACCATGTGTTCACCAGTGGGAGCTGTGATCCCGTAGGGGAGTTTCTCAGGGTCCCCCACTTGGCCCACTCCCAGACCCAGATCTCACATGCTTCAGCAGGTGCTAGGCCCTTGCCTGGCATAGCCTGCCCCTCCATCCTGGCCTTTGTATGAGCTGGAGGATGTTGCGGGCTGGCCCATCTCACACCCTGCTTTAGGATGCGCATGCAGGTGCTGCAGCTTGGACCTGCCCAGACTATTCTCGGCCCCAGTACCCGGGAGTGTTGGTGGGTTCCACGTTCACACCTAGTTCAGCCAGTCACCATCCCAACTCTTTTTTTTTTTTTATAGATTTATTTATTTATTGGAAAGTCATATACAGAGAGGAGGAGAGACAGAGAGGAAGATCTTCTGTCCGTCCGATGATTCACTCCCCAAGTGAATGCAACGGACGATGCTATGCCAATCCGAAGCCAGGATCCAGGAACTTATTTCCAGGTATCCCACATGGGTGCAGGGTCCCAAGGCTTTGGGCCGTCCTCGACTGCTTTCCCAGGCCACAAGCAGAGTAGGGAGTTGGATGGGAGGTAGAGCTGCCGGGATTAGAACCAGCACCCATGAGTTCCCCAGCGCGTTCAAGGCGAGGACTTTAGGCCCTAGCTAGGCCACGCCGCCGGGCCCCACCATCCCAACTCTTGAGCTAACCAGCGGGACTTGTATTCCACAGGGCCCATTTATCCCCTGCGGATTCTACCCCCAGACCTGGTTCTCTCGCATAATGTGACCTGTGCCCTGTTCCGACACTCAGTCAGGTACTGGGATCCATCTCTGCTAGACACAAGCCCCCAGCCACATCTTTCTTGTGGGGTGGTGTATGATGGTGAGTGATGCCCTGCGCTGACAAGCCCACCTCTGGACTGCCATGAGGGCTGGTGGGTCGGTCATACAATCTTCCTATCTCTCATCTCAAAACCATCAGTTCTCAGTACCCACGCCAACCTGCAAGTACAGTAGCTTTGTCGTTGAGTGTCCCTCATGATTCATTCCTCACACCTACAGTGGCCTTCTCCATGGGTGTCCCTAGGCAGTAATGGATACCCCCTAAGACCCTAGAGCTTGCCAATGAGTGCCAAGCGGGTGGAACCCAGTGCCAAATGGCACACTGGCAACCCATAAGCCCAAGGCCTTGGGCCATCCTCCCCTGCCTTCCCAGGCCATAAGCAGGGAGCTGGATTGGAGTTGGAGCAGCCAGGATACAAATGGCTACTCAGATGGGATGCTCTTGCTTGCCAGTGGAGAATTAGCCAGTTGAACCACTGAGGAGGCCCCTATGGTGAGGCTTTCCCAGAATGCCTCTTGATTTAATGGCCTATGATTCAGGTGCTTGTTCCTTGATCTACTTATTACAAGTCACTGTTTTTGAGTGATAAAACAATAACTTGATGCTACTTTTGATTGAACTGACATTTTGTCTCCAATTACAAATGCACCTGTTAGTCTTTAAAAAGTGATAATATGGGCCGAACACAGTAGCCTAGCAGCTAAAGTCCTTACCTTGCATGTGCCGGAATCCCATATGGGTGCCGGTTCTAACCGTGGCAGCCCCGCTTCCCATCCAGCTCCCTGCTGTGGTCTGGGAAGGCAGTCCAGGATGGCCTGGACAGTGGGAAACCTGGAAGATCCTGGCTTCAGATCAGCCTGGCTCCAGCTGTTGCAGTCACTTGGTGAGTTAATCAGCAGACGGAAGATCTCCCCTCCTCTCTGTATATCTTACTTTCCAATAAAAATAAGTAAATCTTAAAAAAAAAAATGAAAGCACACATGATAGGAGGGGCTGCTGCCATGGCCTAGCTGGTAAAGCTCCTGCCTACGGTGCCAGCATGCTTTATGGGCACCAGTTCAAATCTTGGCTACTCTACCTGTGATCCGGCTCTTTGCCAACAGGCCTGGGAACGCAACACATATCCCAAGTACTTGGACCCCAGCCCCCAGCAGGAGACCCAGAAGAGGCTCCTGCTTTGAGATTATTAGGGCCTTTTGTTGTTAAGATTTACTTATATTTGGGCCTGGCGCGGTAGCATAGTGGTTAAGGTCCTCGCCTTGCACACCCAGGATCCCATATGGGTGCCGGTTCTAATCCCGGCAGCCCTACTTCCCACCCAGCTCCCTGCTTGTGGCCTGGTAAAGCAGTCCAGGACGGCCCAAGACTTTGGGACCCTGCACCCATGTGGGAGATCCAGAAGACGCTCCTCACTCCTGGCTTTGGATTGGCTCAGCTCCCGCAGTTGCGGCTGTTGGGGAGTGAATCAGTAGACAGAAGATCTTCCTCTCTGTCTCTCCTCCTCTCTGTATATCTAACTTTCCAACAAAAATAAATAAATCTTTTAAAATGTTTTACTTATTTTTGAGGAGTTAGTACAATGGCTCAGCTGGCTAATCCTCTGCCTGCTTGTACCAGTTCAAGTCCCAGTTGTTCCACTTCTCATTCAGCTCCTGGGTTGTGGCCTGGGAAAGCAGCTGAGTATGGAAGATCTCTGTAAATTCTTCAAATAAAAAATAATCTTATATACTTTTAAATAATATCTAATGACACCATGCCCTGTGTCTACCCAACAGCCTGAGCGAGAGGAATCCTGGAGGACCCGGTCGCGGAGCCCTGCACGTCCGGCGCTCCACGGGGGCCGAGCAAGGGCTCTGCCTCGTCCAGGTCAAATCCAACTGTCGGAAGCTTGTCTCCCAATGTTTACCTTCTGCCATTTGCCACGTCCGCGCCCGGGGAAGGAGTTCCAGCGCCCGCCAGGCGATGTGCGGCTCCCGGGAGCCCCAAGCTCAGAGCAACGCCGGAGCCCTAAGCTCTCCACTACCGCCTGGTCTTCCAGCACCGGAACCTAAACACGCGAGCCGTCACCACGGCAACCGGAGGCGGAAGGGGCGTGGCGCTGGGCGGAAGGGGCGTGAGCGGCCTTCCTTGCGTGGCGGGAAAAGCGGCTTCCCGAACGTTGGAGGCGTTGGATCCGCGGCTCTGGAGATGGCTTCGCTGCCGGAGGAGCGAGCGGCCCCCGAGCCCGCCGACTCGGGCGGCCCGGCGCAGGGCCCCGGCGGCTTGGCGAGCAGGGAAGAACGCGTGGCGCTGCTGCTCAGGTGGACCCCGGGGAGCGGGGCCGGGAGCCCCCCGGCACCCATGATGGTGTGGTTGGAAAGCTTCAAACGCAAAGAATTTACCATAGGGTTGTAGGAAGTTGTCTAGTGCGCCTTACGTAAAATTGTTCCAAGTCACTTAAGCAGTTTCAGAAGCGACACGATCCACGAAGTGGTTTGTACATATACCTAACTACCCACCACTTCCCGACTTTTACGTGTGGTTTTACAGCACTAAAAAAAAAAAAAAAAAAAACTCTGGTAAATAAGTTGTCTTACGGATTGGTGGTTTCGGTTTGTTTCTGCATTGCGGGAGGAATGTTGCCCTCCGTGTTTGCAACTGATGACGTTGTCTTTGGATTTGCTCACTCCGTGTTTCCCCCTGCAGCCCTTTGCCCGGTCTGGCTGGCGTGGCACTTGTTCATCAGTGCGGTCGCGTCTGCCATTCTGTGCTTTAGCTTCTGTTCGGAAGGCCCGCCTGGGACGCTGGACGCTCGTGCTCTGTGCATTTCTGCACAAGATGTTGGTTTCTCAGCTGGCGTCACTGAGCCGACTTCCGTTCTCTGTGTGCAGGCTGCGAGAGCAGACAAAGCAACAACTCCGGGAATATAAAGCCATGCTTGATGCACGTACGTGTTTTCATTTTCCGTTGACGTTGTTAGGAGTTTGGGGGTGAATGCTATTCCAGGGGAAAGATCAGCTTTAAAAAAAAAATTGTTCATATTGAGTCTGGTGTGTAGCAAAACACCAGAAAATCTTCTGTAGAGAAGATACAGAATAACTGTGGGGGATGCTGAGCGTGTGGCAGCAAATGATGCTGGAAAGGAGTGGAGGCAAGGGGCAGGGCTCCTGCACAGGTGTCTTAGGGCGCAGATCCAATGCATGAGCAAGAACAGCCGGCTAGTGCGAATTCTGACATCTGAAAGCTCCAGGAGACTGCAGTACAGACTTTCGTCTTTAATTTCTTTGGGAGGTAGAGGCACAGAGAGGGAAGAAGAGATCTCAGGCTGGTTCACTTCCTAAAGCCTGCAACAGTCCGAGCTGGGCCAGGCCGAAGGCGCTGGTACTTTCCCAGGCATATCAACAGGGGGCTGGAGTGGAAGTGGAGCAGCTGGGACTTGAACCCGCACCCACATGGGATGATGCAGCACTTTCCCCGATGCTATAGAATTGCTATCCTAAAAAAATATTTATAGCAGGTCAGAAAAAGGGGCGTTGGAATCTTTGAAAGCAGGTACTTATCTAAAATGAATTAGTGTTAAAAAAAAAATGACATTTCATTGGTTAAAGAGTGTTTCTTTTAACAATAAAGGCATCCATTTAAAGGATACAACTCGATGATTTAAAAAAAAAAATTGGGCCTGGTGCGGTAACCTAGCAGCTAGAGTCCTAGCCTTGAACACACCAGGATCCCATATAGGCGCTGGTTCTAATCCCGGCAGCTCCAATTCCCATTCAGCTCCCTGCTTGTGACCTGGGAAAGCAGTCGAGGACAGCCCAAGACTTTGGGACCCTGCACCCATGTGGGAGACCTGGAAGAAGTTCCTGGATCCTGGCTTCGGATTGGCCTAGCATCGTCCGTTGCATTCACTTGGGGAGTGAATCATCGGATGGAAGATCTTCCTCTCTGTTTTTCCTCTCTGTATATCTGACTTTCCAATAAATAAATAAATCTTAAAAAAAAGACATTTATTTTTATTGAAAAGTCAGATTTACAGAGAGGAAAGACCCTCCCTCCACTGAATCAGTCCCCAAATAGCCCCAAGGGCCGGAGCTGAGCCAGGAAGATTTACTTAGGGGCCAGTGCTTGGGCTCAGCTGTGTAGTCCTCCACGTGCAAGTGTTGGCATCCCAAATGGGTGCTGGTTCATGTCCTGGCTGCTCAGCTTCCCAACCAGCTCCCTGCTCGTGGCCTAGGAAAGCAGCGGAGGACGGTCCAAAGTCTTAGGCCCCTGCAGCCATGTGGAGATGTGGGAAACATATAAACATAAATCTTTAAGAAAAAGATTTTACTTTTATTTGAAAGCAGATTTTATGCAGAGAAGGAGAGCGAGATCTTTATTCTCCCCAGATGATACAATGGCTGGAGCTGAACAGCTGTGAAACCAGAAGCCAGATGCTTCTTCTGGGTCTCCCACGCAGGTGCAGGGTCCCAAGACTTCGTGCTGTCCTCAACTGCTTTCCCAGGCCACAAGAAGAGAGCTGGATGGGAAGTGGAGCTGCCAGGATTAGAACCTGCACCCATATGGGATCCCGCGTGTGCAAGGCGAGGACTTTAGCCACTAGGCTAGCACATAGTAGCTACTAGCCACATGTGACTTTTTGTTTGTTTGTTTCAGTAAAATCCGATTATATTTGAAGTAGTCACATGTCAGATGCTCAGGAGCCACATGTTGCTGGCCAGTGGCTACCCTGTTGGACTGCCAGCATCAAGCATTGTCATTCTAGAAGGTTCTGGGCTGCTTGTCTGTTCCTATGGCTGTGTTACACTGTCTTGGTTGCTGTAGCATTATCTTTGTATCAGCTCCTATGAGGCTTCCAGCTCTGTCAACATTGTGTTGGCTGTTCTGGCTCTTTTGTGTGTCTAAATGGCTTATCAGTTTCTATGGAAATAAAGGTCAGATTTCCACTAGGATTTAGTTGGAGGTGGGTCAGCATGGGGAACTTGTTCAGCACAAGTCCATGGTATAGCAGTGCCCTTTCCTGGTGGCGACGTCATTACGTATGTTGGTAAATTTTCCCTTATCCTGTGTCAGTGATCGTGGTAAAATTTTGCCTTCCGGGTGTCTATTGCCACGATATATTTTGACATGAATTGTCTTGTTCGTTTTTTACTCTTTTTAAATTTTCTGTCATTCTGAAACCATTCTGCCCAAGAGGTGACCTCTGATTCCGCGTGACTTTCCAACACTCATGACGTAGTTAGTCGTCACTGAGATGAGCTATAAATGTAAAACGGAGAAAAAAAGAACAGGACATATTTCATTTGTAATGTTTAAGCCTGTTTCATGTTGCAGCCATTTGCCCTTTGCAGCTTGCCTTATATCCCTTTCGGCAGCGCTGTTCTAAGTTGTGACTGTTCATTTGCAGGTGAAGAGAAAACTCCAGAAATCATGCAGGAACATCAAATCGAGGAGTATGTCCATTTTGATTGTTCACTTTTGGATTTGTCCGGGCTTTAATCGTGTTGTCCATATGTAACACTGTCATGCATGTGTAGAAACCCATGACTTGGGATGGAGAGCTGCATGTGTGTGAGTGGTCCTGTTCACACTCTCTGGCCTCCCCTGTTATCACCAGATACTATCAGAGTAGCTCAGGACACATCAGCTTACTGTGCGTTGGTGTGGTGAGTCTACAGAATATATTTTTTTCCAGATTACTTGTTTTGAGAGTTAGGGAGAGGGAAAAGCTCCCATCTGCTGGCTGATTGTCCAGGTGCCCACAACGGGTGCCCCAGGTGGGCCTGGCGCTGGGAGCTGGGAGCTTCTTTAAGTCTCCCAGGTGGGAGGCCACTGCCTTTCAGCGGATCCATTAGCAGGAAGTTGGAGCAGCAGCCGGAGCTGAGAATTGAACCAGCTGCGCCCATGGAACATGGGTGTCTTACCACAGGCTTCATGCCGCACACCGACCCCCTAACCCCCGCAACACTGTGCCAATGTAAAGTGTCTTACTTTTTCTCAAAGGCTCATATTAAACATTTCTTTCATAAATGATGTCTCCCAGTATTGCTGGTTTGTTTTGTTCCTGCTTCTTTAATAGGAAAATCGAAGAACTGGAGAATGAAATTGAAGAGGTCAAGCTTGGTTTGGAAACGCAAAATCTCGCAATAAGCCGGTAATTATTATGTTCTTTTTTTTTTTTTTAAGATATATTTATTTTTATTGCAAAGTCAGATATACGGAGAGGAGGAGAGACAGAGAGGAAGATCTTCCATCCACTGATTCACTCTCCAAGTGACTGCAATGGCCAGTGCTGTGCCAATCTGAAGCCAGGAGCTAAGAGCCTCTTCAAGGTCTCCCATGTAGGTGCAGGGTCCCAAGGCTTTGGGCCGTCCTGCACTGCTTCCCCAGGGCACAAGCAGGGAGCTGGATGGGAAGTGGAGCAGCTGGGACACGAACCAGTGCCTATATGGGATCCCAGCTCATGCAAGGCAAGGATTTAGCCACTGAGCCATCATGCCGAGTCCTATATTATCTGTTTCTGAAAGTCTTTTCCATGCAGTATTGTTGGAAAAAACTATTTATGTTTTATTTTTTTTTAAAGATTTATTTATTTTTATTGCAAAGTTGGATAAATACAGAGAGAGAGACACAGATGAAGGTCTTCCATCCAATGATTCACTCCCTAAGTGGCCGGAGCTCTGCCAATCTGAAAACAGGAGCCAAGAGCCTCTTCTGGGTCTTCCATGCAAGCACAGGGTCCCAAGGCTTTGGGCTGTCCTCGACTGCTTTCCCAGATGGCAGGCAGGGAGCTGACTGGGAAGTGTAGCTGCCGGGATTAGAACTGGCGCCCTTTTGGGATCTCGGTGCATGCAAGTAGAGGACTTTAGCCACTAGGTTACAGCATCAGACTCAGGGGTATCAATCTTAAGGTTGTCCTGTTTTAGAATTTTGTTTTAATGTGCATAAATGTTATCCATATTTTATAATGTGATTCTGTTTTGCTTGTTTTGGTCTCATAGGATACAATGTGCAAATGCACTTAAAAGAAGCCTGGAGAAAACCGATCCCAAGAATAGGTATGAATTTTTTTGTGTGTGTTTAATTTAGTTTCATTTATGGTGAAAGGCAAGAACCATAGCTAGAGATGGACAGACCTCCTCTGTCTGCGGGTTTGCTCCCCAGATGCCCCAACATCCAGGGGTGGGTCAGGATGACTCCAGAGATGAGGAACGCCACCCTGTTCTCCCGTGGGCAAGGTGGTGACCCACGCTTTCGAGCCAGCATCTGCTGTTTGCACACACGTGCATCAGCAGGACCCTGGGTCCGAAGCAGAGGGCGGGCTCAAACCCAGATATTCCAGGAAGGGATGCAGGCATCCCAAAGGAGAGATTTAATCCACTCGGCCGCAGTTCCCGCCTCTGAGCTCTTTAACTATCACCACGAGCCACCTTTATCTGAAGAATAAGAAAAGTGATGGGATTTTAATAGGCTTTCCTCAGAATTACAGCAAATTTCACAGTCTTGTTGACATCTTGTTTCATATAGATCCTGCGATCTGTATGTAACAGTTTAGGGACCAGTGCCAATCTTGCGCTTACAGTGCCAGCATTCCATACAGGCACTGGTTCTGCTCAACAAGCCATCTTCAATGGCTCAATTGCTAAATCTTCGCCTTGCACACACCAGAATCCCATATGGATGCCGGTTTATGCCCCCAGCTGCTCTACTTCCCATCCAGCTCCCTGCCTGTGTCCTTGGAAGGCAGTCGAGGACGGCCCAAAGCCTTGGGACCCTGCACCCTGTGGGTGACCCGCAAGAGGCTCCTGGCTCCTGACTTTGGATCAGTTCAGCTCTGGTCATTGCAGCCACATGGGGAGTAAACCAATGGATGGAAGATCTTTCTCTCTATTTCTTCTGTATAAACCTGCCTTTACAATAAAAAGAAGTAAAATTTTAAAAATAAAGCCTCGGGTAGGCAAGTCAGCTGATAACCAGTCTCAGGAATCTGGCCTGAGATCTGACTTCTTCAGTCTCCGGCAACCTTGTGACAGCCTGAGTCACCCCGGGCACGCCCACGTGCCATGCAGAGTGCCAGTCCAAGTCCCATCTCCATTTTCAGTCCTGCTGTCCTGTTGTGGCATATCCCAGGAGGCAGCAGATGGTGGCGTAGGTCCTTGCATGCCCGCCACCCAGTGGGAGACGCAGGTAAGACAGGAAGCAGGAGGCCCCAGCCTGGCTCCATTCTGGATAGGGGAGACAGCCTCTCTCTCTTTCTCTCTCTTCTGCTTTTCAAATAAGTAAAATTAAATAAATACAGATATTATGATACAGTACTATACCAGAAAAGTTCCGAAATAGATCTGGGCACTTCCTCATTCCTGGGACTTAAGTCAAAGTTCTGTGTATTTCCCCCATATTCCCCAAATTCCAGTAATATCCTACATTCTGAATTTGGAGTCTGTAAACTATTGTTCCACCAGAGCTTTGGGTGTCAGCTCGTCCTCCACTTGCAGCCTCCAGCATCCCATATGGATGCCAGTCCATGTCCCGGCTGCTCCACTTCCCGACCGGCTCTGCTTATGGCCTGGGAAGGCACTGGAGCGTGGCTTGAGGCTTGGGCCGCTCCACCCATGTGGGAGAGCTGACGCAGCTCCTGGCTCCCAGCTTCAGATCAACTGAGCTCTGCCCATTGTTGCCATTTGGAGAGTGAACCAGCCGTGGAAAACCTCTCTCTCTGCCTCTCTCTCCTCTCTGTAAAATCTGCCTTTCAAATAAAAATAGATTAAAAAGTTTAATTCAGCTCTTACTCCTGTAGCTTCCAATATGTTCGCTGCTCCGTGGAATATTTGACGCAGGATGAGGAGGATGGTGTGACAACAGCAGTCACACTGAAGGCCAGGGTCCCAAGGCCGGGGCCGTCCTCAACTGCTTCCCCAGGCCACAAGCAGGGAGCTAGATGGGAAGTGGAGCTGCCGGGATTAGAACCGGCGCCCATATGGGATCCTGGTGTGTTCAAGGTGAGGACTTTAGCCGCTAGGCTACCACGCCAGGCCCTGTGTTTTAATTTTTTAAGATTTTTTGTTGTTGTTATTTTTTAATTGGAAAGTCAGAAATGCAGAGAGGAAGAGTCAAAGAAAGATTTTTTGTTCACTGGTTCACTCCCCAAGTGGCTGCAGTGGTCAGAGCTGAGCCAATCCAAACCCAGAAGAAGCCAGGAACTTCTAGGTCTCCCACGCGGGTGCAGGGTCCCAAGGCTTTGGACCATCCTCCACTGCTTCCCCAGGCCACAAGCAGGGAGCTGGATGGGAAGCGGAGCCACCAGGACACAATCCGGCACCCATATGCAATCCCAGTGTGTGCCTGGTGAAGACTTTAGCCTCTAGGCTACCGCGCTGGGACATAAAGTGATTTTGATAGTTCTGAGATACTATTGATTTTGTTTGTCCCAGGTTGAAGCAATCCACCAAAGTCTCTTAGATGACAGAGTCCATCTTAGAGTTCCCAGTTGTCCCGATGCTTGCTGTCAGAGCTTGGCAGGGAGAGTTGTCCAGTTTGTTCTGCCTCTCGTGGTACTTGACATCCTCTACTGGCCTCATAAACTGGTTGTCATGTCCCCCAGGTGTGCATCTGGGCTTGCTGTCTGCTGCACAGGCTTTAGCAACCAGGGAGCCCCAGTTCTGACACTTGTACTCTATGGCCAGACCACAGATCCTGTGATTATCCCTGTGGTTGGAGCTTTGAGTCCCGCGGTCCAATTCAAGGGTTCCCGAAAGAAACCTCGCCAGAGGTGACCCCAGGTTTTTTGACTCCTGTGTATGCCAGCCAGTGCAGTGTCCAGCTCAGTCTGTCACCCACATTAGCCTACAAATATACTGCTGACTGCAGTCACCTGGTCAGTTCTGCCCCAGCCCCATCTCCTATGCAAACCAGTGGGTACTGCAATGCAGCCCATTCCACACTCTCGGCCCTCACGCACATCACTGGGAACTGCAGCCTGGGCTGAGCAACTCCCCAGTAACCCCCACCAGGCCCACCCCTAGCTCTGGTTCTTACACGTGCCAGTATGTGCAGCAGACCAGTCCAGTCAGTCCCACATCCCACTTGGCTCTCGCACACATCATTGGGTCTTGCAGCCTAGGTCAGCCCGGCTAATCCCACTGTGCAGCCCACACGTCTGAGGGTGTTGCTGCTTCTCCAGCCAGGCCCGCCCCCAGCCCTGGTTCTCATGCTCACCAGCGTGAGCTGCACCCCATCAGAGAGGTGCCCAGGTACCCTAATAGGCCCGTTCCCAGCCCTGGATCTTACACTTTCCAGCTGGTTCTGCAGTCTAGCCTGATGGGCTTTGCTAGCTGTTGCTGCAGTAAAGCCAGACCAGCCTGCACTTATTCTGGCTCATGCAAGTGCCAGTGGATATGGTTGTTCAACCCAGCCTACTAAACCAGCTCACATGCAGGCCAATAGGCTTTGTAGCCTTCACAGCCTGGTCTGTCCCTGGTCCCAGCTCTCACACTCAACAGCTGAAGCACTGGCCCGTAGGGGAGTCCTTGCAGTCCCATTACCTAGCCTGCCCTCTCACCCAAGGTCTCTGAGGCGTGCTGGTAAATGCTGTGGTCCAGTCTGTTATGTGTCACCTCACCTCTGCATTCACTGGTGAGCGCTCTAGTCTGGCTTCTCCTCGACCTGCCCCCAGTTCCAGCTCATACCGATGGGTGCTGCAACCTAGCTCAACCCAGCCAGCCCCCCGTCCTGGTCCTAATGTGGACTGGCTGGACAATCCAGCTTGTCCTGCAGCCCGTCCTGGTTCTCACATCTGCCAGTGGTGTTATGAACTAGTCAAGTCTGGCTTGCCCCCAGATCTGACTCACATATTTTCTGGTGGATACTGTCACCTGACTTGGTCTGGGCTGCTCCCAGCCTTCGTTCTTGCTCTTACCTGCAGGGACTACATCCTAACAGAGTAGTTCTCCAAAATTTTAGGTCACCTCCCAGTGGCGGATCTTGTGCACACCAGTGGGTGCTTGACCCAGCCTGACTTGGTCCACTTTCTGTTCATGCAGATATAGCATCCTTGCCTGGCTGGCCCACACCCATTCCAGCTCTTGCTTTTGGTTGCTATATCCCAGCCTGTTCTAGACCCACCCTGGCTCCTTGCCAGTGGGTGCTGGAGCCTAGCCTAGTCTGGCACAATCCAGACCCAGTCCACACCCATGCCTAGGGACACGCAGGCATGTCCAGCCCAGTCTGCTGCCTCCATTCCAGTTCTCACACCAGTGGGAACCAAAACCCAGCCAGGGCATCGCCTTAGCTCCTTAACCAGCCCCACTGTTTCCCAGGCCACAGGCAGGGAGCTGGACGGGAAGCAGGGCTGCTGGGATTAGAAACCGTGCCCATATGAGATCCCAGCGTGTTCAAGGCAAGCACTTTAACAACTACACTATTGTGCTGGGCCCCAGGTGGTAGATCCTTACCCAGCACAGTCTGTCCCCCACAATTATTGGCCTTTGTGTGTGCTGGTGGATGTTGTGGCTCAGCCTACCCCACACCCAATTCTTGGGTGCGCCTGCAGATGCTGCAGCCTGGACCAGCGCAGTCTGTTCCCAATCCCAGTTCCCCTGAGTTTCAGTGAGTACCATGTTCGTCTAGCTCAGCCCATCACAAGCCCCACCCCTGTAGCAAACCAGCTGGTATGGCAGTCCCACAGGGGTAAGCTGACAAATTTCTCACAGAATCTTTCAGACCTGGTTCTCTCATATGCTGGTTAGTGTCATGCCCAGCGTAACGTGGCCCACCGCCTGCCCCGACATTCACTGGCAGGTACTGTGGTTGAGCCCTGCCAGGCAGGCCCTCCAGCCATGGTTTTTGTGTGTACCATTTAAGCAGTGGTTGGTGCCAACAAGCCCAGGTCAGGATTCCCCATGGGCAGCTGTGTTGGTTAGGCCCTGAAACTTCTTCTGGATTCCCTCCTGCAAACCACCCAGCCCCTCTGGCTGGTTGGTACAAGTTCCTGTCACATCCTCCCTTAGCAGCCCTCCCTCTCACACATCTCCAGCCAGCCTTCCCTGAGCAATCCACAGCCCCCTATGCCCACGAGCACATAAATCCCCGAGCACAGTCCTCCTGTGGTATGTCATGCCAGCCAGGGGCCCTGCGCGCCCGCCTGGGGCCCATGCATGCTTGTGCGTGCGTCTCCAGACCCTGTCTGCTGCCATGCTGGCGTCTCCACAACAGATCTTACCAAAAAAAAATATATATATATATAGGATAGGCAGCTATACTGACACACTGGTATAGTGAACACAGAGCTAGCATTAACCAGACCCAGGATGCCCACCAGCTATGGGCTGCTTTTCTCCCAGCAGTGTAAACCTTGCCTGGGTAGCCGCCTAGGCACCCGCCTGCAGCTGGAGGACAATGAATTTCTGTTGAAGCGTGCAGTGGATTTAGCGGAGGTTGGTATATTAGAAATCAGAACTGCACTGTTTTTAACTAAAGTTAAAACATGTCTCCCCCCCCCCCCTTTTTAGTGGATTCATGGACGACATGAAACATGTGATAAAGCTACAGAAGTTGATAATAACGTCACAGAAGGTAAGCTGTGTGTGTGAGCATTCTGAGTTTCAGGAACGGCTTCTTGCTGGTCACTCAGACACAGTTAAGTTTGACTGGAACTCATGCTGCTTACATTCTCCCTTTGACTTCTTGCTACTTTGTTATTTCTGACTCCGTTACTATTTGCTTCTCATTTAATCTACTGTCATTTCCCGTTCCCTGGGTGGAAACCAAGGAACTGGAACCTGGAGCCTTAGAAAACGTGAACTAATAGATGCAACTCAATGATTTAAGTATTATAATAGTTCATCCGCAAGTAATGTGGTTTAACATTTTTCATTTTAATAACAGGAATCTCGGAGTTTAGAGGAAAAACTACTTGATATTAGAAAGAAGAGATTGGGTATGTGGAAAACTTTTTTTCTTTAATGGTTGAACACATTTCACCCACAGCCAGCTCTCTCAGCCACTGAAAGATTCTCCATTTTTCAAAGTTCTTAAAATTTTCTACCTGATACAGTAAAAAGAGGGCTATTCTTTCTTTCTTACTATTTCTTACCATTTCTTGCTATTGCTTTAGAACTTTAACCCACAAAAGTCTTGGCTCTGGGGATAGCATTGTGGTGTGCTGGGTTAAGCCGCTGACCGCAATGCTGGCATCTGCCATTGGGGCGCCAGTTCTAACCCTGCCCTCTCTGCTTCCAGTCAGACCCCTGCTGATACACTTAGAAAAAGGCAGCAGGAGACAGCTCACCTGCCTCAGCTTCTGCCTCATCCTCTGTGGGGAGCCCGGCTGGGGGCCCTGGCTCCTGGCCTCTGCCTGGCTGGCCGTGGCCACTGTGGCCATTTGAGGAGTGACCCAGTGGATGGAAGGTCACCCTGTTTTCTGTCACTCCCTCTCTCTTTGATTCTGTTTTTCAAATAAGTGAATCATGAATTTTTTTTCTCTCTGAGTAGAATTACCAGGTAACTTCTCATGACCTTTATTGGTGGAGTCTCCATCTGGATTCTTTTGTTTGCACCTGACAGAATTAAAACAGACGTCAGAAAGTAAGCTTTTAGAAATACAGACCGAAAAGAACAAAAAGAAAGAAGATTTGGAACAAGTGGAAAATTCAGAAAAGATACAGATGCTGCGTCAGAACCTGCAGACGGAGCTGCACATCACCACGGTCATCCAGCACGTGTTCCAGGTAACAGAGAGCAGGGAGGGCGACCACGAACGCCTAGGGCACCGACTCGGCAGGGAGGGCGGCCACGGACGCCTAGGGCACCGACTCGGCAGGGAGGGCGGCCACGGACGCCTAGGGCACCGACTCGGCAGGGAGGGCGGCCACGGACGCCTAGGGCACCGACTCGGCAGGGAGGGCGGCCACGGACGCCTAGGGCACCGACTCGGCAGGGAGGGCGGCCACGGACACCTAGGGCACCAACTCGGCAGGGAGGGCGGCCATGGATGCTGTCATGGCACACTCAGCGTCAGAGGGGCAGCCTGAGCCCGATGAAATAATACAGCAGTGAATATTGGTCTGTTTACATATACATGGAGCTCACATGTATTTAATGATTGAGACGTTGTTTTTTCATTATGATTAGACTATTAAAAATTAATCTGGGGCCCAGCATGGTAACGTAGCGGCTAAAGTTGTCACTTTGCATGCGCCAGGATCCCATACGGGCACCAGTTCTAATCCTGGCGGCCCCGCTTCCCATCCAGCTCCTTGTCTGTGGCCTGGGAAAGCAGTCGAGGATGGCCCAGAGCGTTGGGACCCTGCACCTGCGTGGGAGAACCAGAGAGGCTCCTGGTTCCTGGCTTTGGATTGGCTCAGCTCCCACTATGGCAGCTGCTTGGGGAGTGGACCATTGGATGGAAGATCTTCCTCTCTGTCTCTCCTCCTCTCTGTATGTCTGACTTTGCAATCGAAATAAATAAATCTTAAAAAAAAAAAAAAAAGATTTTTTGTATTTGAGAAACAGGGTTACAGAGAGAGAGAATCTTCCATCTTCTGATCTGCTGCCAAGATGGTCACAGCTGGGGCTGTGCCAGGCTGAAGCCCGGCACCAGGAGCTCCTTCCGGGTCTTGCATGTGGTTGGCAGGGATGTGGGCTCCTGGGCGGTCATCTGCACATTCACAGGGGGCTGGATTGCAAGGAGCATCCAGAGCGCAAACAGGGGCCCGAGTTGGATGCTGGTGCCACAAGCAGGAGCCTTATTTGCTGGGCCATCGCACCGAGCCCTGACATTAGACCTTTGTAAATGGAACTTTTTTTTTTTTTTTTTTGCAGCTCTGGGGGCCGTATTTTACTTTTCCTTGAGCCTGGGTTCTTTCACACTGATTTAAGGCCTGTCATTCTTTACTGCTTGATTCTAATGCCAGCCTATAAATGATTAGTCCCGTAGTAGTAATAGCCCAATATTAGTTTTGATTTCCCGAACTCGTTCATGGCCAACTTCAGGAGCTCTGTGCCGGAGATCAGGAGTCGAGTCGTATTTGAAAGCTTACTGCTGCCTGCTGTTACAAATCGCCTGGCTTACTTACAGCAAAGGCGTGCTGAAGGCTGCAGTGTGTGGAGACAGCGTTCAGTAGTCAGATCAGGATAGTTAGCGCATCTCCTCAGTAGTCGTGCGTCATCTGTTTTGCAAACATCTAAAATCCTTTCAGCTGTATTAAAATACTCAGCTGTTGTCAGCCACTGTGATCCTGCTGAGCTGTAGAACATCAGATGGTGTTTCCCCTAAGGGTGGGTTTGGGGGTACACTGGGTTCATTGTTTGGATGCCCACACCCCCAGTTGGAGACTGGGCTATTGCAGGCCTTTGGGGAGCAGCTCATTGGATGAAACATCCCTCTGTCTCACTCACTCTGCCTTTCAAAGAAAAATGAACAAGCTTTGAGTAGTATGGACATTTTCACAGTATTATTTCTTCACATCTATGATCATGAATGCCGTCCCATTTGTAGGTGTGTCCTCTCCAGTTTGTTTTTGTCACCACTGTATTGTCATTGTACATATCACTTTTTCTCAGGTTAAATTTATTCCTAGGATGTTTATTTTAAAGCTGCTGTAAGTGGGATTTCTTTCTCAGCATTTTTGTTAATTGTATATATATAAAAAAAGCTTTTGTGTATTTTAAGATATTTATGAGACAGGTTTTCTAACCTCTTGTTCGGTTGATTCATATCCATTTAGTTCTCTCCCCAAATACTTGCAAACACCAGGGCTGGAAGGCCAGCCTTGTGGCACAACGGATAAAAACACCAGATGGAACACCAGATTCCTCACTAATGTGCCTGGAAAAGCAGAGGAAGATGGCCCTAGTGCCCTGGCCCCTATCACCTGTCACCTTGGCCGGCTTCAGCCTGGCAAGCCCCAGCTGGGCGGCCATTTGGGGACCAAACTGAACGTGGAAGATTTTTCATCTGTCTGCCTGTCCTTCACTTTCTGTCACTCTGCCTTTCAGATAAATAAATCAGTCTTTTTTAAGATTTATTTTTATTGCAAAGTCAGATATGTAGAGCGAGGAGGAGGAGAGACAGAGAGGAAGATCTTCCATCCAATGATTTACTCCCCAAGTGACCGCAACGGCCAGAGCTGAGCCAATCCAAAGCCAGCCAGGAGCCTCTTCCAGGTCTTCCATGTAGGTGCAGGGTCCCAAGGCTCTGGGGCCGTCCTCGACTGCTTTCCCAGGCCACAAGCAGGGAGCTGGATGGGAAGCAGGGCTGCTGGGATTAGAACCAGCACCCATATAAAATTCCGGCACGTTCAAGGCAATGACTTGAGCTGCTAGGATGCCATGCTGGGCCCTAAATCAGTCTTTTAAAAGGGGGGTGGTGGGGGGGTGAGTCTCAGAATTCAGTCCAGGGCTCCCACATGGATTGTAGGAGCCCACACCCTTGAGCCACCACCTGCTACTTCCCACAGTGCACATTAACAGAAAGCTAGATGTGCAGTGGACGAAGCCGTGCCCCCACGGTGCGTTCATCTCTCAACATGTGTCTCTGCCTTGACTGCCTCTCCGGCAACCTCACTGGGTTTGTTAACTGGTGATGGCAGTCTTTGGGGAAGTCGTACCGATTTCTGTGTATGAAATCATTTAACTACAAAAAGGGATCATTTGTTCCCCTCCTTTTCTATTTAGATGTCCTTTCTTTCTCTGGTCTAATAGCTATGGTTAATATTTCCATTGCTGTACTAAGAGTGATAAAAGTGGATTTTTAGGGCCCGGCGCGGTGGCGCAAGTGGTTAAAGGTCCTCGCCTTGCACGCCCGGGATCCCATATGGGCGCCGGTTCTAATCCCGGCAGCCCCGCTTCCCTTCCAGCTCCCTGCCTGTGGCCTGGGAAAGCAGCAGAGGACGGCCCAAAGCTTTGGGAACCTGCCCCCGCGTGGGAGACCCGGAAGAGGCTCCTGGCTTCGGATCGGCATAGTATCGGCCCGTTGCGCTCACTTGGGGAGTGAATCATCGGACGGAAGATCTTCCTCTCTGTCTCTCCTCTGTGTATATCCGCCTTTCCAATGAAAAAATAATAAAAATAAATCTTTAAAAAAAAAAAAAGTGGATTTTTATACCTAACAATAATGTACTCAAATCTGTTTTGGCATTATGCTAGTCAGTAATTGAGTACCACTGAGCCATAGTTTTTCAAAGAGAAAAATCATAATTTTAATTAATAATTTCTCTATTATTTAATGCAAAAAAAAATTATTCACCTGTACAGAATTGTCACCTCCTAAAGAAGTCTGCTATCAATTCTGACGTGTAGTTGCTGTGGCAGATACAGACCAAAGGATTTCCAAAGCACTTAGTTGAATGTTTGCCATATTAAAGGGAAACTTCTAGAAAAACAGCCATCACCACATGCAACTTGGACCAACACCTTAAACCAAATTAACCAAATACTTGCTGAGGAGCAAGTATTTCTTTTGTGTCTTTTGAAGAATGGAGATATTATTGAATTTTTTCACCAAGTAAATGCAAAATGAAATGTGTTCCACACACTGCTAATGCCTGGTCCTCTCACCATGGCTGGCCCTACCAAGGGTCTGGAGTTGGTAAAAAGGTTTCCATGGAAACTGCAGCTGCCCTTGGCAGTTAGTGTCCACATGGTGGAGACCAACGATGACCTTCTGAAAGCAGGCATGAATGCAGCGGGAATGTACATCACAGAGGGGCAGAGCCCTAAGCCAGAGAGGGGTCTATTTTTAAATCTTGTTGGATTTTTCAATGCACTTTGCTTTCATTGCAGAACCTCATCTTGGGGAGCAAAGCTAACTGGGCAGAGGATCCCACTTTGAAAGAAATTGTCCTGCAACTCGAGAACAATCCCAACATGATCTGATGAGGATTTCATTTAGGTTTTTTTGGGTTTTGTCCTTGTATGTCACTTAAAGAGAAGATTTCAAGAGAAGCATGTCTTTGGAACCTTTCTAACTCTGCAACTGTTTTTCTAATTTGAAATATGTTGTTTTAAATATGGTGGCCCAGGGGACGTATTTCCTCCAGAAGAACCCTGAACTGTTGTCCCTGGAAGGGCGACACTCGATCCAGCCTCCTGCTGAGTACATACAATTATCTGGAATGTTCTTATTATGAGTACATCTGTGCATTGTGACATCAAATTATTGGAAAAGTATATCCAGAATAGTAGCAGTTATATTTATTTGTAGTAGTAAATTGTGACTTTAGGTCTTTATTAAGTATGTATGTATGTAAGAATAAAAGGAATAAACGTTACCCTATCATTTGTTTATTTAAAAACAGAACGTGCTTTTTTGCATATGCCCCATTATGTTTAGGGAAAGTTCTGAATTTGACCTCTATTAATTACGTATGAGCTGTTGTTCACTATTCCAAGTAATGTAGTCTTTTCAACATTATTTTTAGAGGATTTTTAAACTTTAGAAAATGCACTACAATAGATAATAGAATTTGAAATCTGTTTATAACAACAGAAACACAGAGATTTGCCTATATTTAAATTATACAGTTTTCTTTGGGATATTTATACTTTAATTTTTAAAGATTTATTAATTTTTATTGGAAAGGCAGTGCCCTTTATTTTTTAAAGATTTTAAAATTTTTAATTGGAATTTTAAAATTTTAATTGGAATAAAAAGTAAATAAATGTTTAAATTTAAGATGTATTTATTTTTATTGAAAGGTATATATACGGAGAGGAAAATCTTGTATCCAATGGTTCGCTCCCCAAGTGACTGCAGTGGCTGAAGGTGAGCCGATCTGAAGCCAGGAGCCAGGAGCTCTTCCTGGTTTCCCACGCAGGTGCAGGGTCCCAAGACCTTGGGCTGTCTTTGACTGCTTTCCCAGGCCACAAGCAGGGAGCTGGATGGAAAGTGGAGCAGCTGGGACACGAACTGGCACCGGGCACTTACAGGTAGAGGCTTAACTGATCCATCATATTGTTCTGATCATTTGTTTTACTCTGTCTCATAAGTTGTCAATATAACTTGTTAGAAAGCAGGTTATATTTTTCTCAAGCCATATTTTGGAAAACCTCCCATCTCCAAAAACACATTATTACATAAATTACAGCTTCACGCTCTATTAATGAATCCGATCCCAAAGATGGCTTTGCGACAGCAAACCACAGCGATGATATCTATGTGGTACTGCGTTGTGCCTTCTGCCTCTCCCAGGGGAACTGAAAACACCTGTCACCCCTGGCACCACTCTCCTGCCTTGCTCATAAGGTGGGGGAGCTCGGCAAAATGCCTGAGCAGGTGACAGTCCAGGAATGCTGTCCCACACGTTCCAGCCCTCGCTCCCGTGTGGCTTATAAAAGGGTAACAGCATGCCTGTCGATGCTGCAGTGAAGAAGCCTTGGCCAGGCTGCGATGGCCACCTGTCCCCTAGGTGGGATTGCACAGGAAACCCCTCATTCCCTGAACGGAGCTTCCCTCTTCACGTTTGGGTCTCGGAGTTCCTACTGTGTTCCATGGACACTCATGGTAGGAACATCAGATTCTGCTGACATTCGCAGTTAGCAACCTTGTCTGAAACACTGCGTTTACCTGGGATTTCGCTGTTCAACTCGGCAACTGTATTAGCTTTTCCTGAAAACATGTCGGGCTAACTACCCCAGAGTTTCACCATAAGCATGCCCTAGCTGATTATTCCTTGGACTCGGGTTAAGAGAGTCACTCTAGGAAACATATTCCCATGGTAGAGGATCAAAGATCACAGAGCCGAAACAAATTCCACAAGCACAATCAGATCTGCTCTCAAAGGTGGTATTGTGGCACGGCTGGCTAAGCTCCTCGTTGCAATTCTGGCACCCAAAGTCATAATGCCAGTTCAAGCACTGGCTGTTCAACTTCTGATGAAGCTACCTGCTAAGAGATCTGGGAAGGCAATGGCTAGAGTATGGGGGTCCTTGTCACCGTGTGGGTCTCCAATTAGGGTGGGGAGGGTCAAGGTATGGAAGAAGATGGATGAGACTGTTTTGTTTTGTTTTTCTATCTCCTATGTCCAAGGTGGGAAGTAGAGGGGCCACTCCTTGCTCTCAAACTACATCTGCACCCAGCCATGGGACACAGTCAGTTGGTGACACCTTAGAGACCTTGACGTGGGGAAGAGTGTTCTGAGGGTGTTAGTTGGGTGGTTCTCATAGCTCTGAGAAGTTCCTGGTTTCATTCCTCCAGGCTTGACAAAATCCAGGCTCTGTGGACTGACAAAGTCCACCTTAGTGTAGCCACAGACCCAGGAACATAAATTTGTCCAGGAGAGTTGTCCAACCTGTTCTGCTTTCCATCGTCTAAGTCAGCCAATATCCCCCGCTGGTCCAGATGAGCCTCCTCGTATCATGTGCCCTGGGTGCATTTGGATATGCTACCCACTACACAGGCGTCGGCAGCTGAGGAGGCCCAGTGCTGATATGTGCACTCCAATGTCGGACCACTTATTTACCACTTATTTTTCCTGTGGCTGGGGTCTGAGTCCAGCGATCTAGTTGGAGTCTTCCAAGAAACCTTGCCTGGGTGACCTCAGATTTAACTGTTGTGTGTGCCAGCCAGTGCAGGGTCAGGTTGAGTCTGTCATCAGCATTAGCCTAGCGAAAGGAGTTCCCCAAACTCTCCTACCAAGCCAACTCTCAGCCTCCATCTCAGGCAAGACAGTGGATGCTGCCTTAGTCTGCCCAAAGTCCCACCCTCTGCAACCTGGGCCCGTCCAGCCTCCTGCCAACCCCAGGCTCCCACGAGTATTAGGTCAGTCCCGGAGTGCAGCCTGGCTCAGCCTGTCACCCCTAGTTCTTACACAAACCACTTGGGTGCTACTGTCTACAGAAGCAAGCCTACAACTCCCCTACAGAATCTGTCCCCCAGGTCCAGTTATCTGCCTTTCCTAACCCAGGTCTCCCACATGGGTAGGGGTCTTGGCCTGACCCAGATGTGCCCCCAAGTTCCCACCTCTAAACCACTTATCCTTAGCTGCTCCCAACCAGCCCAGGGGCTGGGGAGGCGCGGCCTGGTCCAGTATTCCTGCCTTCCCTGTTTTTCTTTTTTAAAAAAAAGCAATTATGCTGGCACACTGGTATAATTAACACAGATTTGGCAGTAGCCAGGCCCAAAATGCCTGCCAGCTATGGGCTACTTTTCTCCCTATAGTGTAAACACTTGCTTAGGGACAAGTCCACCTAGGTGTTGCCTACAGCCGGAGAGAAGATGGAGCTTTTAGCTTCTAACTTTGACCTGGCTGAGCCACAGCTGTTAGAGCCATTTGTGAAAGTCAACCAGCAGCTAGAAGATTCTGTCTCTGTCTCTCCCCTTCACTGTTACTCTTCGACATAAATCAATAAATATATATTTAATAGAATTTCTATCTAGAAAGGGTAGACACCAGAGATTTTCCATCTGCTGGTTTACTCCCCAGGTGGCTGCAATGACCAAATCTGAGCTGATCCAAAGCCAGGAGCCAGATGCTTCTTCAGGGCTCCCGTGCAGGTACAAGGTCCCAGTGCTTTGCACCATCCTCTACTGCTTTGCCAGGCCACAAGCAGAGAGATGGATGGGAGCAAGAGCAACAGGACCCAAACCAGCACCCATTTGGGATCCCGGCTCTGGAAAGGTGAGGACTTAGCAGGGACCCAAGATCTCAGACCATCTTCTTTACCAGGCACATAGGCAGGGATCTGGATGGGAAGTAGTTCAGTGGGATTTGAACCAGCTCTTATATGGGATGTCAGTGTCCCAGGAAGTGACTTTATCTGCTATGCTGTAGTGCCATTCCACGTTTTGTTTATAAAACATTAATTCTCTGGGGCCCGACACATTAGCCTAGTGGCTAGGGTCCTCGCCTTGCACGTGGTGGGATCCCACTTCAGCGTCAGTGCTAATCCTGGCAGCCCTGCTTCCCATCCAGCTCCCTGCTTCCCATCCAGGCAGCCCTGCTTCCCATCCAGTTTCCTGCTTCCCATCCAGCTCCCTGCTTCCCATCCAGGCAGCCCCGCTTCCCATCCAGCTCCCTGCTGTGACCTGGGAAACCAGTCCAGGACGGCCCAAAGTCTAGGGACCCTGCACCCTCATGGGAGACCTGGAAGAAGCTCCTGGCTTGAGATTGGCTCAGCTGACCAGTCTAACCACGCTAACTAGCTAGAAGTAGACACAGCAAGAATTGAGCAAAACTACAAAAAAAGAAAAATGGGCCAAAATAACAAATAAATAGAAAAATACTAAAACCAAGTGGGAAAATGGATAAACCAAATAGAACAAGAAACCAACAAAAAAAAAAAAAACCAGCACTCACCACCACCCATCGCAAACAATAGGGAAGATGGGGCCAAGTCACACAGGTCACCAAAACAGCTCCCTGGCAAAGTGGACCAGAACCCAGGCCCGCGCAGGGCTTATATAGGCTGCGGGAGTTCCATCACCATAGGGATCCTTATGACGTCAGGGGAGAAATGGACCAATCACAGTCCAGCAGGCCCTGGCGCACATGCTGGTCTGGTCCTTGTGGGGTGGGGGAGGGTCTCATGAAGAACATTCCACGTGAATAAAATGGAGACCCCAGCAGCTTTTTTAATAGGTAGGTGATATAGATGTACATTTTACATTAAAGAAATTATTCTTAGAAATTAAAAAACCTGTATTGTGCTGTAATGTAGTTTCTTACATTACACTTGTGCTTCAAAAGGCTATTAGTTCCTGGGTTGAACAACCACAACTGCACGTTTATGAAACTGCCTTGATGTCTACACTCTGAACACACGTTCCTTGAAGCTCTGGGAGATGGCTCTCAGATGATGGCACAGCTTCTCTGGCATCGCTGAGAGGAAGGTGTCTTCCATGGCCGTGTGCCCTACCTTCACCATCAGACCCCCCACCAGGAACCGCGGGGGCCCAGAAGGTAGTGGGGCTGGGATGGTCCAGGAATGGAGGGCTAAGTGTCAGGGAAGACAGCCACATCCTGCACAGTTGTCCCTCAGAGAGCAGGGAGAGGCTGAGGCCTTCTCAGGTCTTCCAAAGAGGGCCAGTGCTTTGTTGGGCGTCCTCCAGTGGTGACAAGCAGTAGCCCACCCTTCCAGCCCAGTGAGAGACCCCCCTTCAGGGCCCAAGGTTGTGGGTCAGCGGATTTGCTGCCAGCATCTCAGTAAGCACTGCTTGGAGTCCTGACTGCTCCGCTTCCAATGCAGCTCCCTGCCAACGTGCTGGGGAAGCAGTGTGAGATGTCCCGAATCCTGGGTCTCTGTCACCTGCTCTGGAGACCTCCCTGGTGCTGACGCTCGTGGCATCTGCTGCCCGTCCCTGGCTGTTGTGACCATTCGGGGAATAAACCCACAGATGCAAGATCACTAGCTCGCTCTTTGCCTCTCTCTATGCCAAGTTTAAAATAAACAGGTAATTTTCATTTTTAGAAGAGGCCTTGTATCCTGAGGCAGAGAGAGCAGCCCTACTGGCTTATCACCTGGACTCCTCACCCATAGTCACTGTGGCACTGACCTTAACATTGAAATGGAGGGATATGGGCATTTGTGGCCTCTACCTGCCGTGTCTGAAGGGTGTTTGTGCTTTTTTTTTCTTTCAGGAGATAGAAATGAGTGGTCAGAAAGGAAAGAGTTATCTTCCATTTTTCTTTCTTTCCTTCTTTTTAAAGATTCGTTAAAATTTGTATTGGGAGCCTGGCATCCTAGCCTAGCAGTTGAAATCCTTGCCTTGAACACACCCATATGGGATCCCATATGAGCACTGGTTATAATCCCGGCAGCCCCGCTTTCCATCCAGCTCCCTGCTTGTGGCCTGGGAGAGCAGTCGAGGACGGCCCAAAGCTTTGGGACCCTGCATCCACATGGGAGACCTGGAGGAGGCTCCTGGCTTCAGATTGGCACAGCACCGGCCGTTGTGCTCAGCTCTGCTGTAGCCACGATGGTCACTTGGGGAGTGAATCATCGGATGGAAGATATTTCTCTCTGTCTCTCTTCTCTCTATATATCTGAATTGCAATAAAAATAAATCTTTAAAAAATTGTATTGGGGGCCCGGCGCGGTGGCGCAAGTGGTTAAGGTCCTCGCCTTCCACGCCCGGGATCCCATATGGGCGCCGGTTCTAATCCCGGCAGTTCCACTTCCCATCCAGCTCCCTGCTTGTGGCCTGGGAAAGCAGTCGAGGACGACCCAAATTCTTGGGACCCTGCACCCACGTGGGAGACCCGGAAGAGGCTCCTGGCTTCGGATCAGCATAGCATCGGCCGTTGCGCTCACTTGGGGAGTGAATCATTGGACGGAAGATCTTCCTCTCTGTCTCTCCTCTCTGTATATCTGACTTTCCAATATAAATAAATAAATCTTTTTTTTAAAAAAAATTGTATTGGAACAATAGATGTAAGAGAAAGAAAGCTCCTCCATGCACTGATTGGTGCCCTTGCCCTGGCTCTGATTTGGTCCGGACTCCAGCCTGGGTGCCACCTGTGAGATGAGCAGACTCCAGCCTTCGGGTCACCTGTGGGGTAATTACACTGGGGCCTTGAGTCATGGGGATTGAGGGCCTTGGTACTAAAGGTCACGGAGGCCGTTGCGCCTGCAAGCTCACAGTCTCTTAGCCAAGCAAAAGTACTGCAGTTAGCAGAGAGCCATGTTTACACCATTTCAATTTCAACTCTATAGCAGTAACAGTTTTTTTTTTTAAGCTTTACTTATTTATTGGAAAGTCAAATATACAGAGAGGAGGAGAGACAGAGAGGAAGATCTTCATCCGATGATTCACTCCCCAAGTGAGCGCAACAGCTGGTGCTGCACTGATCTGAAGCCAGGATCCAGGAACAACTTCTGGGTATTCCACATGGGCACAGGGTCTCAAGGCTTTGGCCCGTCCTCAGCTGCTTTCCCGGGCCACAAGCAGGGAGCTGGATGGAAAGTGGGATGTCAGGATTAGAACCAGCGCCCATATGGGATCCTGGCATGTTCAAGGCGAGGACTTTAGCCACTAGGCCACATTGCCGGGCCCAAGCAGTAACAGTTTAAAAAAGAAACTCCTTAGTGTTCACCTCAGTATAACTGGGGAATGGTGCAGCTGGTTTGTGCACTAGAAATAAAATCCCGACCCTAGTTTTTCTGTCATATTTCAAGCTGATGGCCCAGCGTAAAGGCTCAGTGGCTCTATCCTCATCTTGCACTCGCTGGAATCCCATATGGGTGCCAGTTCTAATCCCAGCAGCTCCACTTCCCATCCAGCTCCCTGCCTTGGCCCGGGAAAGCAGTCGAGGATGACCCAAAGCCTTGGGACCCTGCACCTGCCTGGGAGAGCCGGGAGAAGCTTCTGGCACCTGGCTCAGGATGGGCTCAGCTGTGGCCACTATGGTCGCTTGAGGAATGAGCCAGCGAATGGAGGATCTTCCTCTCTGTATATTCTTCTCTCTGTAATCTGCGTTTCTAATAAATAAATATTTTTTTAAAAAACTAATTTGAAGTTGAGCAGCTAGGGTTTAAAAAAAAAAAAGCAAATGGACATGAAGCAACTGCCAATCCACGCAGGTGTATGGTGCGACCCTTACCAAACCCGAACTGTTTCTGAACTTGACACTAACACTCGAGCCTTAATAATACTGTTCACCTTTGCAAGCGGTTTCGGAGAAAACGCTCAACTAGCCTGGATAACTAACTCACCAGCTGAAGAACACGATAAAAACAACTTCAGGGACAGCCTGGTGGGGAGAGGGCGGAGCCCAGGCTGGGAGAGGGGCGGAGCCTGGCACGGAGGGCGGGGCCTAGCAGGGGAGGGGCGGGGAGAGAGGCGGGGCCTGGCAGGGAGGGGGAAGGCCGGGGCGGGGCCTGGCGTGCGGGGCGTAGTTCAGGCGGGAGAGGGGCGGGGCCTGGCGGCGGCCGCTCGCCCCGCCCCGTGACGTCAGGCAGGCTCCGCCCCCAGCAGCCCGGGACTCCGGAGAGAGCCGCGGCTCCGCTCGCGCCCCGGAAGCTGCCCCTTCCCGGGGGTCATGATGGGCAGCAAGATGGCGTCTGCCAGCAGGGTCGTTCAGGTAAGGGGGTTCAGCCGCCTCTGGTCGCCTTGGGCGCTGGGGAGGAGAGGCGGTGGCGAGGACCCGCGGTGACCGCGGCCCTGAGCGTGGCCGGCGGCGGCGCCTCGGGGTGCGGGCGGGCGGGCGTCCGAGGGGGCCCTGCGTGCGCTGGGTCGGGCAGTGAGCGGGGTCTGGGGTCCCCGCAGTCCCAGTGCAGCGTCCGGCCGCTGGAGCGCGGTCCCTGCGAGGCCTCGCCCCGGGAGCCTGCGGGCCAGTCACCGGCCGGGGCTGTCCGCGATGGGCTTCGTTAGCCAATGGGAAGCGAGGCGTGCGAGCACAGGCACCTTGGCTCTGACCCGCCGTCCCTTCAAGGTCTTGGGCATGGCGGGGTGGCCGGCCCCGCGGGGAGCCCTGGGCCACGGCCGCTGCTGGCACGCGAGGGGCATGGAAGAAGAACACCCTGTGTCAGATGGTCGTGAGTTTGCACAGGCAGCCGGGGCGACCTGATTCGCCCAAGCTCCAGCCACTGACCTCCGACAGCTTTGGTCTTGGCTACTCCACGTTTGGGATCAGCGTAGGCTTTGATCTTTCAAACGCTTTATGTTTATGCCTCATTTCCAGCTTTGCTAGGAGAAGGGTGCTTCATGTGGCACAGATAATGTTTCTCAAGAGACCTTTTGCAGTGTTGCTGAGGTTGTTTTCTGAGTATAATCCTAGGTCTCAGGCTTTGGTCCCAAATGCCACGAATTATCCTCACTTATGTCCTCACCGTGTGTGTCTGCAAGGTCGCTGGTTCACACCTCACAAAGCTCTGGCATCCGTAATAGGTAACCATTCGTGTCACTGATAGACATGTATGTGCAAGGAAAACACAACGTCAGGATATACTGTACAGCTACTGACATGATGAAAATCTAAAAGACCAAGCGGGAATGAGAACGTGGAGTGCAGGCAACCCTCAGCCGCTGCTGGCGCGGTTTAAAGTAGCACAGCCATGTTGGGAATACCTACCTCTGTGTGACCCCGCACGGTCACAGGTTTGTTACCCAAGGGAAATGAGGGCCTATGCCTGTGCTACAGAAAGTCTGGAAATTTTTTCATAGGGAAAAAAAGTTAGCAGCAGCTGAATTTGTGAGAGTCTGCAAACCAGAAGCAATCCATATGTCCATTATTCGGATACATGCTTTGCTGTCGGTTGAGATGGACACAACCATAAGAAGAGCTCATTGCTGATATGGACAAAGAGTCTGTGAGCTGGACAGTGACAGGAACGATCTGTGGATGGTAGCGTTCATTGCGGGAAGCATCGTGTATTCATGGTACCTCCTTACAGGCATCGCACACTCTGCTTCCCTCTGCTCTGTGTTGGGACCTCAGTGCCAGCTAGACAGATCTAGAGCTTGGAATTTAGTTGTTGATCCATTTCTTGAAGAAAGACGCTTCAAGAAACTATTACAGGGGCCCGGTGCGGTGGCGCAAGTGGTTAAGGTCCTTCACCTTGCACACCCGGGATCCCATATGGGTGCCGGTTCTATCCTGGCAGCCCCGCTTCCCTTCCAGCTCCCTGCCTGTGGCCTGGGAAAGCAGTCGAGGACGGCCCAAGGCTTTGGGACCCTGCACCCACGTGGGAGACCCAGAAGAGGCTCCTGGCTTCGGATCGGCATAGCATCGACTGTTGTGCTCACTTGGGGAGTGAATCATCGGACAGAAGATCTTCCTCTCTGTTTCTCCTCTCTGTATATCCGCCTTTCCAATGAAAAAAATAATAAAAATAAATCTTTAAAAAAAAAAAAAGAAGCTAACAGAAATCACAGTGGAGGGTCTTTGAACCGTAAGTGATAACAAATGCCTTGGGTATCAGATCAGCTATCACTGAACTCAGAAAACTTCTAAGAGAAATTAGGAATTGTGCTAAAAGCCACACTTCCCAGTTCTGAGATACTAGTAAATGAGTAGGATCCAGCTCCTGCAGGCGTTCCTCCAAAGCTGCCACAGGAGGCGAAGCACAGCCCTGCCCTATGATCCTGAAGACAGGCACGTGCAGAGCCATGACAGCCAGGAGGTACTGTGATCCCGGCGGACACACAGTGGGCTGTGATCCCATCAGACATGTAACGGCTGCTCTGAGCCAAGCTCAGCTTTGTGTATTCAAGACGTGTTTTTTCTTGGCTTTCTGGAAGGCCAGAAACCATTCCCATCTACTTCCTGGGAGAGTGTTTTGAGAAAGCCAGAGCTATTGTAGAAAACCACCTGGGAATGCTTCGTCACACTTCTGCTCATTCTCGCCCAACAAGGGCTGTTTTGTTAGAGTTTTGATATAAAATCATCAGGTTTAGCCTCAGTTGGCTTCCTTGGTGGTTTCCTAATCTTAAAAAAAAATTTTTTCCCCCCTAGAATGGCTAGTAATTGTTACTGAATTGTATAAGCCTAAGGCAAAAAGCTTAGGCAGTCACTTTAAAAAAAAGTTTCTAATCATAACAAATACATATATTTTTTAAAGATGCATTTTTATTGAAAAGGCAGATTTACAGAGAGAAAGATTTTCCACCCACTGGTTCACTCCCCAAGTGGTTGCAACAGCTGGAGCTGAGCTAATCCAAAGGCAAGAGTCAGGAGTTTCTTCTGAGTCTCTCAGTTGGGGTGCAGGGTCCCAAGGCACTGGGCCATCCTCCACTGCTTTCCCAGGCTACAGGCAGGGAGCTGGAAGGGAAACATGGCTGCCAGGATTAGAACCTGGAATTAGAACCTGCACACATCCCAGTTCATGCAAGGCGAGGACTTTAGCTGCTAGGCTATGGCACCAGGTTGTAAATTTTATTTTTAATATTGTTTATATAGTTGAGAGGGATGCATACCCATGTCACCTTCTGATTACAGTGGGGAGGGTCAGATGTTTTCATTTTTTTTTCCCCCTTTTGTGTCTGCAGGGATGTAGGAGGAAGGAGCCACTGAACTACATTAGCGCCCTGAGATGGGGGATGGTGCTTTGATACACAGGAACCCCCCAGTGGAAAGAATGCTCTGAGGGTGTTACCTGAGTGACTTGGATATTTCCAAGAAGTTGTTGGTTTCGTTTCTCCAGGGTTGAGAAAATCTTTCTCAGGTCTTCTGGTTGGCAAAGTCCACCTGGGCACATTCACAGACCCAGGAACAAAAGCTCCGACAAGGCAGTTGATGCCCCCTGCTGGCCAACCGAGCTGGCCTCTGGGCGAGCCGTCCACTGGCATCAGCAGCTGAGGAGCCCCGGTCCTGACACACGCACTCCAAGGTCAGACCTCACAGCCTGTGATGTTTTTTCCCCTGTGGCCAGGGTCTGAGTCCAGTGGTCTATTTGGGGAATTCCCCAAGAAAACACTCCTGGCTTGACTGGTATGTGCCAGCCAGTGCAGGATCGGGTGCGGTCTGTCACATTGAACCAGCCAGTGCGCATACCACATGCTGGTGGATTTAGCTGCAGGGTCAGTTCTGCCCCAGCCCCATACTTCACGTACCTGGTCCTCCTGCATAGTAACAGGTACTGTGATCTGGTACTGTGATCTGGTCGGGGGCAACCCCCGTAACCCGCACCAGGCCCACCCTCAGCCCCAGTTGTGCTTTCCAGCTCCTGCTGTAGCCTAGCCCGGCCCGGCCCATGTCACACCCAGCTCTTGTGCACACCCATGGGTGCTGCAACTTAGCTCAGCCCAGCCTGGCCTGCCCTAGCCCTTGTTCTCATGCTCACCAGCAGAGAATACAGCCTAGCAAGGGAGTACCCAACGTTCCCCTGCCACGCATGCTACCAACCCGGTATTCTGCGCCTTTTACGGGATGCTGCAGTCCGGCCTGACATGACTTGCACCCAGTCCTGCACTTGGCAGCTGCTGCAGAGGCACAGTCTGCCCATTCTGACTTTCTCTCGTGCCAGTGGGTGCACCAGCCTAGTGCAGTCTGGCCTGCCCCCTGATTCAGCCCAGTGCCAGCTGCTGAGTACTGCAGTCCTGCCTGGACCAGCCCGCCCCCTGTCCCAGCTCTTATGATGCTCACCTGTGGAAGCAGTTGACCAGCAGGGACATCCCCGAGGTCCCCCTAGTAGGCCCGCTCCTGACCCAGGCATGCCCTCTGGTTCCCCCCTTCGAAACCGCTCCATCTCGCTTCTTGTACCCACCTGCGAGTGCGGTGGCCTGGAGAGGTCATTCCTTCCCTGTCGAACATGTCATCAGCCACTCTCCTCCAAGGCATCCCAGAACTCCTTCCCCAGGCCACTGCAGCCTCCCTGCCTGGCACCAAGTGGCGTGCCCTGGCCCCCTGACCCACAACAACCTCCCCACATTTTTTTTTCTTAAAGTAAATAAAGAATAAGGAACTCTGCTGATACACTGGTAGAGTTAACACAAATGAGGCATTAACCAGGCCCAGCATGCCTGCCAGCTCCTGGCTGCTTGCTCCCAGCAGTTAACATTTGCCGAGGTACAAGGCAACCCGGACACTTACCCACAGCTGGGGCAAAAAAAAACTTTTTTAAAGATTTATTTATTTGAAAGGCGGAGAAACAGAGCTTCGTAATTTGTTGGATTTGACAAAACCATTGGAGTGTGACTCAATAAACATCCTTGTCTGTCATTGACACAAAAGTTGTAATCGGTGAGATGAGATTTATGTCGGAAGGGAATGATGGAATAAGACTGTTGCTGATGAAGCGCAGCGGCGGGTGTATAATCCTTTCTGTACGTGGAGGGTTTGTCCTATCACAAGGTAATATCACAGCAGGAACTTATAAGGCGGCTGTATTGTTTTCAAGCTCAGAAAAGCAATATTGGATTCTTCCTGTGCGACTTTTGTGCTTTGGGATTAAGTAGACCTCCATGTACGTGTGCCACTGGCCCCAAGTTAGTTATAACTTAGAAATAGTCTGTTCCTGCATTTGACAAATGTGTGAGCGTTTACCGTGTTTCAGGAATGCTCGCTTTTCCAAGATTTCGCTTGCTCCCGTAATGGTTTATCGCTCGGGCAGAAAATGCCAAGGAGCAGTTTTTAAGTCAGAGCTCGGAATCGAGGAAAGTCGCTTAGAGAAGAGTGACACTTGAGCTGTTTTAACGGCGTAGCAGCCAGAGGACAGGCTCGCGAGTAAAGTGGGACAGAGTCCTCGGCGGTGGCAGTGGGGCTGGCGGCAGCAGGGTCTGTCAGGGGGGTGACAGGCACTTCAGGATGTCTGGGGAGGCAGTCCTGCCGGAGGAACCAGAGGCCGCTAGGGGACAGGCCTTTGCATGCCAAGGGAGAGTGTGAACTCTGAAAACTGGGGCATTCTCAGACACTGAAATAGGACAGTGGCAGGAGGGTTGGTTATGAAAGACGGGAACCAGGAAATCAACAGAAAAGTGAGGTTTTTCCCTTGGTTTGTAACCCTGAGGAGTTGGGCATCCTTCCGTGTTGAGAACAAGAATGTATTCTAGCACTTTGTCGCAACAGCAGGATTAGGGTGTCGGGCCCTCGGGCTGCCCCAGCAAGCCTGCTGGCTGACGTGTGATATGCTGAGATGGACGTAGGAACAGAGATTGCCAGAGAACACGCCTTAGTTCCATGGTTCACACAGCAGCCTAGACGTCACTGTAGTTGAAAATTATGCTCTGTTCGTTGGCATTGCATACTGAAATGTTTTCATATTAATATTTAAAGCCTTCTGTAGCACCCTCGAGAATGTTAGGGACGAAATGTTCGTACTCTTCAGGGTCGGTCATAAAAACATATTCGAAACAAGTATGTTTCTATAGGAACGGGAAAAAGACTAAAGGTTACCAAGTGCTTTTTATCTGTTGTATCTGGGTTTGGGATTACAGTCATTTCTTTCGGCTTCCTGACATTTTTCTGCAAATTTTTTCGAGTGTTACTTATGTAGTCAGAAAAGATGCTGTTTACCTAATTGATCCAATCCTGGACTGTCCGATATTGACCTAGTGAGGAAACCACACTCAATTCAAGTCAGCACACATCCTTTCTTACTAATAAGTCGTGCAACATAAAATGATGTTTTCTTCATGAAATTTTTCAGTTTTATTAATTTGATTTTAAAGACACAGTTATAGGAAGGGAGAAGCAGAAAGAGAAAGCAAGAGAGAGAGAGATTGCTGTCTCCCATCTCATATGCTTATAATGCCAAGGCTAGGCTCGCTGAGAGCCGGCAGCCCTTTCCAGCTGCCCCACTTGGGGGAAAGGGCCCACGTACTTGGACCATCTTCCATTGCTTCCCAGGCGTGTTAGCAGGGAGCTGGGTCGGAAGTGGAGCAGTGCCCATGTGAGATGCCAGCTTGTCCTATTACCTCGTAGTGCTGGCTCCTAGTGGGTTATTTTGACATCAGTTGGCAACGCATTACAAAGTCTCGTGAGACACAAAGTATGAAACTATGAATGAATGAAAGGTTAGCAAGTTATAATTCATAGAGCAGCTTCCCTGATTAGGAAAAATTAGGGAATGTTGCTGTCATAGTTATCTCAACAAAGTTATCTTTTGATGAGGCTCAGTGACAATTGCTTCTTTAGCCAATGAGATTCCTTTTAACGCGTGTTATTTTTTCTGTAGGTAGTCAAGCCACATACCCCGTTAATAAGGTTTCCCGACCGGAGAGATAATCCTAAGCCCAATGGTAAGTTGTGCTTTCTTAAGATTCTATAAGCAGTGATTTTTAATTACTGCTTTTTTTTTCTTATTATTATTTATTGGAAAGACTGACAGAAAGCAAGAGGCAGGGAAGGGGGGGGGGTGAGAGAGTCTGCCACGTGGGCACATTAGCAGCAAACTGGATCAGAAGTAGAGCGGCCAGAACTCAAACCGAGGCTGCCAGCACTGCACACAGCAGCTGAGCCTGCGCCAGAGTGCCAGCACCTGGAGTGTGTTTGTTTGAAAAAACAGCCGAGAGGGAGAGAAAGGGAAGAGAACTTCCTCTCTGCTGGTTCACTTCCGCCAGTGGCAGCAGCAGCCAGATGTGGGCCACAACAAGGCCAGGAGCCAGGACCTCCATCCTGGTCTCCACTGAGCACGTGGGCGCCTTCTGCGTCCTTAAGGACATCAGCAGGGAGCTGGAGCAGGAGTGGAACCAGCACTGCACTGTGGGCTACTGGCGTTGCAAGCAGCGGTTGAACCAGCTGTGCCACAATGCTGACTCGGTATATTGAAGAATTATTTGTGTTTGCCGATTTCTTACATATAAACTCCACCATGTGTCGTCCCACGTGGGCTTTCATGACAATCATGCCAGTGACATAGTTCACACATCATGTGTTGAACTCCATTAAGTATAAATCATTTTCAAACTTATTATTACTCACTTTTGGGATTTACCTACTTAAAACTACCTCCTTATTCCACACCAGGACGATTTACCTAATTAGGCTGTTGTATCATTTCAGTGTCGGAAGCTTCGAGAGCCACAGGCCTGCCTCACTCCTCCGCACAGCACGCCCCGGGGAGTAGGTCGCCAGGCTTGCTGATGTACCAGGGCCCCCCAGACACTGCAGAAATCATCAAGTCACTGCCACAGAAATACAGAAGGAAACCCGTACCTCAGGAGGAAATGGAGTTTATCCAGGTGCGTTATTTTCTCTCTTTTTTTTTTTTTTAAAGATTTATTTTTATTATTTTTTTATTGGAAAGGCGGATATACAGAGAGGAGAGACAGAGAGGAAGATCTTCCGTCCGATGATTCACTCCCCAAGTGAGTGCAACAGCCGATGCTATGCCGATCCGAAGCCAGGAGCCTCTTCTGGGTCTCCCACGTGGGTGCAGGGTCCCAAAGCCTTGGGCCATCCTCCACTGCTTTCCCGGGCCACAGGCAGGGAGCTGGAAGGGAAGCGGGGCTGCCAGGATAGAATTGGCGCCCATATGGGATCCCGGGCGTGGAAGGCGAGGACCTTAACCACTTGCGCCACCGCGCCGGGCCCGTTATTTTCTCTCTTTAAGGATTTTTTTTTCCATTGGAAAGGCAGTTTTTTGTTTTGTTTTTTCATGAAGATAGAGGTTTATTTCAATAGTATAGTAAGTTTCAAACTCTTGCCTTAAGCAAGGTTATACAGTACTTAGGAAGAGACAGTTCCCTACATTGTCTATGCATAAAAGTTCTCCCTTTTGCACTTTGTTCAACACTGATCAGCAAGCAGATGCAATCCACGTGTGCCTTGACCTGTCTCCTGGGTTAACTCAAGCTGCTTCTTCAGAGACTGGCATCTCGGAGGGGCAGGGGCGAGGCGGCCTGAAGCAGACCTTCGCTGAGTCACGGATGAACCGCTCGCTGTAGGGCAGTCAGGGTACCAGTCATGCCAGTGCAAGCACACGGTCCCTTTCACGCACCTTTCAATGCACGTCTCTGGAGAACCTGAGAAACACCGCCCCCCTTCTCCTTACTCAACACAGACAGCACAGTCGGCAGGGGGAGACGCAGCTACACATGACACCAGCTCTGTAAGCTGCAGCAGAAGTTCCAGCCAGCTGTCCGCCCTTGCACAGTCACTGCAGGGCTCTGGAACCGCAAGCTTGTCCACGGCCTCCACAGTGTGTCCCAAGCAGGCACACTTCACCACGGCAGCTGAGATCTGCCTCATCCGCAGGGGAGCAGCGCCCTTGTAGGACGCGTTTAGCCCTTCTTCCTTTCACGTTTTGGGGGCTGCATCCATCACAGTGTAACATCACCTGGCTGGCTTTGAATCGGAACCTTGGCAGCTTCCAGAGTTAAGCCCGTAACGGTGAGATGGTACGTGCTGCTGCACAGCACTTGGAAGACTTCAGAAAAGCAAGCTTGCAGAGCCCCTGCATGGAGCAGCTGGTCAAAGTCAGGGCCCGTCCTTAGCCAGACCATGAATACCATCCTCTGTGAGTGTGACTGAGAATCCATTAAACATACCCTCATACTGCCGAGGGTCAACCTGCACTCGGCACTTCATAGATTCAGGGCAATCAGAGCAGTGCGTGTCAGCCCACGACTTAGGACCCCACCAAAGCTCCGCAGTGCAGAAAACTTCATGGAGCCATATTCGCAACTGTACTCTTCCACGGCCACAGCGGCCTGGTTGCAGGAGCGGCAGGGAGGGCCCAGGGGGTGGAAAGGTTTAGCCCACACCAAGGTGTGCAATGGCTGAGACCATCTCCCTATGATGGAGAACATGCGACTGCTCGCTGCGGAAGGCTGTACCTCATGGAAAGGCAGATTTGCAGAGAGAAGGGGAAACAGATCTTCCATCAGTTGGTTCACTCCCCAAGTGGAGCTGAGCCAATCATAAGCCAGGAGACAGAAGCTTCCTCCAGGTCTCCCACGTGGGTACAGGGTCCTAAGGCTTTGGGCCATCCTCGACTGCTTTCCCAGGCCACAGGCAGGGAGCTGGATGGGAAGTGGAGCAGCTGGGACATGAACCAGCACCCATATGGATCCTACAAAGCAAGAATTTTAGCCACTAGGCTTCCTTGCTGGGCCCTGGGTATGTTGTTTTATCTTAGGACTTAGCAAAACATTTTGGCTTTCACAGTTTTATTTGCTGATGTATATACTGTTCGCATTTTCACATTGTCTTGTCAAATGTGGTCACAGCTGACAGAGAGGAGCAAGTATGCCAGACCCGGGCCACAGCCTCATCTCTGCATGAATCAGCAGTAGATGCAGCCACTTGATGAGAATGACTGAGTCTTCCGTAATCTTCCAAGTGCAAAGGGCTTCTGAGACAGGATTGTTTCAGCTTACTTACTTGGGAAGCAGAGTTTCCATCCACAGGTCTGTGCGCTGAACTTCTAAGCTCGGCTGGGCTGAGCTGAGCTGAGCTGGGATCGGAGGAAGTTAACCCAGCTCTTCCGTGTAGGTTACAGGGATGCAGCCGCTCAGGCTACAGCTGCCTCCTGCCAGGGTCTACACCAGCAAGACCCTCTAGTTGGGAGCAGGTGCTAGCATTGAACTCACGTGCAGCCATGTGGGTCAGTAACATCCTGACCACCAGGCCCAGTAACTGTCCCAAGGTAAATGGAGGCAGGTCGCCTAGGTCAGCGTTGAATTCCTTCCAGATCTGAAATGATACTGTATCAGTGAATGTTCCAAAGCCAGGAGAAACCTGAAACTGATTTTAAAGAACTTGAGGTAATTCACTTAAAAGTGTGGAAATTGGCTGGTGGCCATGAAAACATTTACTTGCTCAATTTACAATTGAAGCTTACTGTTTTATGTTTTCATTTTCAGCGAGGAGGTCCCGAATAATCACCGTGGCTGCTGCTTGTCACCAGACAGAAAGAAGACTTGTCTGTACAATAAAGGACTCCTAAAATGACACGTGGAAAATTGTATATGCAACAACTTTAATAAATATTCTGTAAAAATCATAAAATATGGAACCTTTAGATGGACATCCATATCTCCTAATTTATGTATCTCGGTCAGCTTCACCACAAGCTTACCTAATTGTTTATATACTTTATGCTTATTAAAATATACATTTTTAAATGTTAGCCTATCAGTTTACTCTGGTTATCAAGCATTCTCAGTGTTGAGCTTAGAAGCACACAGTGTCCAGTGAGCTGTAATACAACCCCCGCAATTTTCTTCTGTTCTGATTAGACCGGGCAAGAACTGACCATGAAGCATTCGTGCTTGGGAGAAGTGCTTTCGGGAAATGACATGGGAAACAGTGAAGTCGTGGCTCCACTGTTGTTCTTCACTTGCTAGCATTTTTTGAGTATGAGGTCACTGGAGTACCTGGCTGAGTAAGTGTGGTCTACTCCAAGTAATAGAAATAGACACACGATAAAGCACGTGGCTGTGATGTCAGGAATGGGAAGATAAGTCAGGATTATTTGTAACTTGATTCAGGGAAAAAACTGTTTTTCAGAAAATAAGAGATGGAACTGAAGAGAGAAGTCACTTTGATCATAAAATGCAGTTGATTCCTGCCTCTTGGGAGATGCTCAGAAGGTTGTATTATTTCTCATTTATCCCTTTGTGATCCTGTGTGTCAATCCTGATCACCAACTTTCTCACAAAATCACGTTGGGTAATTTATTAAAGCAATTTACAAAACGTCAGGAGGATCCTCCTGTGCCAGGGAGATGTATATTAAATAAATTCTCTTCCATATCTGAATGATTTCTAGAATATATTTTTCTCAGGTTGTTTTTATTGGAAAGGCAGATCGGATCTGCGGAGAGGCACAGTGTAGACTTGGTAAGAAGCGTGTTGGTGGATTCGCTGTCATGGGGAGAGCTCCCAGCATGGTGCTGTAGACAGAGTCCTCATATGGCTAAGTCAGAAAGTTGCTGGCTTTGTGCATTTGCAATCTCTTTGGTTTGTCTACTTTTATTTTTGATGATGATTGCATGGTTGACCAGGGTGGGAAGGATTGAGGGCTAGGAAAAAGTGGGTGAAATTGTTTCCAAATTCTCTATTTATTCTTGTCTCTGGGGGAAGGGGAGAGTTAAAGGGGAAAGCCACACCCAACCTCCCAAATGTCCCAGTTGCTTTCTTTTTTCTTTTTAAAAGGCAGAGTTACAGAGAGTGGGTGAGAAAGATGCTCCACCTGCTGGTTTATTTTCCTGATGGCGACAACACCCTGAGCTGGGCCAGTCTGAAGCCAGTAGCCTGCAACTGGTGCTGAGCCGTACACATGGGACCAGGGCCCAAGCAGTTGAGTCATTCTCCGCCGCTTTTCCCAGACCTTTTAGCAGGAAGTGTGATGGAAAGTGGAGGAGCCAAGGCTTATATGCTAGTTACAAAGGCAGTTTAACCCTTAATCCCTCCCCCAGGAAGCCTAATTTCATTTAGGGGTAAAGCACTTATATACAAGGGTATGCCAAAAAGTTTGAAGAAAAACAGAATTAACATTTGCTAGATTTCATGTAGAAAAGTTGTGGAATCTTCAGGGTTTTTTTTCCCCCATGATACATGCTATGCATGAACTTTCTGAGGCCCCTTTGTATCTATAACCATCAGCAAGCCAGTTACTTTTGTTTGTTTTCTTCTTTATTACAATACAGTCTGATAGGACCAAGCTATTGCATCACCTGTTTGTAACAAACCCCAGAGTCCAGTGGCTCCCAGTGGTGCTGCAGTCATCTGAAGGCTTGTGTGGAGCTGGCCAGTGGTCCTGCAGGGTAGGTCCCTCAGCAGGTGAGTGATGCTGGCTCTTGGATGGAGGGCTCACTTTCCCCGAACTTCAGACATAACTGCGCAAATCGAGCAGTCGGGCCTTCTCATTTCCCGCCCCCGGGCCCTTACACAACTACATTCACATCAGAAGACAAGGTCATTCTGGCCTGTTTCTGAGACGATCAGCAGGTTTGTCCTCTGGACAGTGCTAAGCAAAAGCTTAATGAAGTGTGTATTGCCCAGAGTAGCAACTAAACAGTTGCCAGCAACGTGCTATGTGGCACTCTTGAGAACCCAGAGCCTCAAAGGTAAAACTGTTGTTTAGCTCACTAGCACTGTAAAGGGAGGTGGGATTGCTGTCACAGGTGATGTATTTCAGAAAGAGTACGGGCAGAAGTCCCATGACAGCATGCGTCCGTCTCGACGTGCCATCAAACATGAAGAGGGTGTATTTCCGGCAATATACAAATCTAGCCTACAGCCAGGTACTGGCAAACGGCTCTAGATTTTGCAGCAGTAACAGCTAACATAAGCTAAGCACCTCGCTGTCAGACACTTTTTTTTTTTTCTTATTAATAAATTTTATTTTGACATTCTTTACATAGTTAATTAGGGTAAGAAGGTTCAAGGGCTACAGGAAAGTGGATAATACTAGTATGTTTTCCATATTGTTAGCTTCATATTCAAAGGGGGGTATTAAAGGGAGAAGCCCACCCAATTTCCCACCCTCCCCAGGTCCCGGATATAGGGCATGCTCTGAGGTTCTTGCTCAGGTGGTCTTAATATTGCCACAGTTATGAATCACTGTCAATCTTGCCACTCCAAGCACTATGAGATCTTTGAAAAATCCACTGATTGACATAGTCCATCATAGCTGAGATGGTTGGTTGACCTGTTCTGTCTTCTCTCTTTTCTTCGTTAGGGTTCTGAGTCCAGCATTTAGATTAGGAAGATCTCCAAAGAAACTTCTTGTATGTGCTAACAAGTACAGGGCCTGGCACCGTCCATCGCTCCAATCAGCTGGTGGTTGCAATTCCTGGGTTGGTTCTGTTTTCACTCCCGACTTCCACTGGAACCAATGGGTGTTGCAGTCCAGCCTGGTTCTGCCCAGCACATACTTGGCCCTCACATAAACCAGCAGGAGCTGTAGCCTAGGTTGGAGCGACCCACAATAACCCCAACCAGGCCCACCCCCTACCCTGGTTTGCCAGTAAGTGTAGCAGTAATCCAGTCTGTCCCACATCCCATTCCACCCCAGCCGCTGTCTTAGTTTTATGTCCTCCCATGGAAGTGGTAACCCAAGAGGGATGAGCCCACTATTTCCCTCCCAGGCCTCTCCCACTCCCAGATTCCAGTTGATGCTGCCCAAACAAACCTCGCCCACTTTAATTTTGTTTGCACCAGTAGGAATAATCCGCCCAGCCTGGCCTTTCCCTGATCTAGTCCACATGAGGCGCACAGGTGTGGTAGCTCTGCCTAGTCTGGTCTGCCCCCATCCCAGCCCATGCTCTCCTGTGGAAGTAGCTGTCCAGCAAAGGAACCCTCCCTTATTCCCCTGCCAGCTCTGCCCACTTCCTTTCTTGTTCTCAGGCTGGTTGGGCGCTGCGGTCCCTTCCGGTACAGGCAACCTCACCTCGGCATTCCATAATGTGCACTAGTCTTTGTTGCGACCGAACCTGGGTCGACCCACACTGGTGCCTGGATTTGCCAGTGGATGACGTGGACAGATTCAGCCTGGTCTTGCCCCCACGTCTGCCAATTGTATGCCAGTGGGTAGTTTTCCATGGCTTTTTCTGGGCTGTTTCCTATCATGTTTCTTGCGTTTACCTGCTGGGTCTGTGCCCTGCCAGAGGAGTTGCCCAGGCTCCTCCATCAGAACCTCTCCCAATGCCAGGTTTCACGCTTACCAGTGGGTCCATGAGCCAACCCTACTCAGTCCACCTCCTGTCATAGCAGGAACTGCGGCTTTTCCTGACTGGCCTTCAACCCAATCTGGTTCTTGCTGTTGGATGTTCCAGCCCAGACATGGTTTGCCCATACCCACGTATGGCTCACACATGGCTCAGTAGGGGTTTGAGACCCTGCCTAGTCCATCCCACATCTGCCCTGGTCCTCCAGAACACCAGGGGGAGTCGGGGTCCGGCCCAGTTCGGTGCATTCAATCCCAGTCCACACTTGTGCCAAGGGAGACTACAACAGTTTCCAGATCAGAAGGCAGCCCCCTTCCAGGCCACGCGCCTCTTGGTGGGAACCTCAGCCCAGCTAGGGTTGTGCCCTTTGCTCCCCAACCGGGTCTGTTCCCAGCCATAGATCACATGCCTGCCAATGGATGCTCTGACTCAGCTTGGCACAGCCCCTCCCCTGTCCCGAACTCTGCCTTAGACACTGTGGCTTAGCGTCCCAGGCTCCCACAGACCAGCAGGTACAAGAGCCTAGCTCGGCATGACCTCTGCTCCCTCCTGGTTTCTAGTTTTACTTGTGGGCTAAGGTTTGCTCAGTCGTGCCTAATCTACTCTGTTCCATTACCAGTTGACACTTTGGCCAGCTGTTGGAGCTACTTGTGCAGGACAAGCCCCAAGCCATAGCTTCTGCATGACTGGTATTTGGTGCTCAGCATTATTAGTGATTACAAGTTTTGCTAAGGAAGAGTAACTGCCTGTGTCAGGTCCAAGAAGCACAATGGGTTCAACCTGGAGCTAATTAAGCAGCAACTCAAAGAACCAACTCCCCAGAGCTCCCGGGCCGGGCGGCCAGCAGGCGGAGCCTGGCACCAATGGCGCACTGGCCGCCCGGGGAGAACGGCTCACCATGTGCCCATGGCGGCTGTCCGGGATCCAGGCATGAGACGCCCCGTCCTGAGACCCACCAGCTGCCAGGAGGCTGCTGGAGGTTTAAATAACCCAGGCCCAAGGTCGCGCCCCTCCCAAATCCCATTCACCGCCCCATGAAGGCGGCGGGTGGGCCCCGGACCTGCCCAGTCCCGGAGGCCTCCCCCCCTCGGTCTACTCACCCCGAAGGAAGCGGCCCCCGAAACCCAGCAGGCCCGGGGAGAACGGCTCACCATGTGCCCATGGCGGCTGTCCGGGATCCAGGCATGAGACGCCCCGTCCTGAGACCCACCAGCTGCCAGGAGGCTGCTGGAGGTTTAAATAACCCAGGCCCAAGGTCGCGCCCCTCCCAAATCCCATTCACCGCCCCATGAAGGCGGCGGGTGGGCCCCGGACCTGCCCAGTCCCGGAGGCCTCCCCCCCTCGGTCTACTCACCCCGAAGGAAGCGGCCCCCGAAACCCAGCAGGCCCGGGGAGAACGGCTCACCATGTGCCCATGGCGGCTGTCCGGGATCCAGGCATGAGACGCCCCGTCCTGA